ATAATAGTATTCTGTGATTCATACTAGATGGCGTTGCAAGCGTCCATAAGCTACAGTGACCGTTTGCCATCTGATTATCTATATGCTCGCTTGACACCTTTGTGGTTTACAATGACATAGGGTTATCTTCAACAAAAAAAAATTTTGTTGTGGCGAAAACCAATATTTTGATTTAAAAACTAAACTATCGAATCGCTTTGACAAAATTACTATTATATAGAGACCAAACTATGAGAATTTTTTCAGATAAAAAAGAGTTTTTCAATTAGGTTTACAACTGGCGGAGTTATGTCGGCAATTAAATTGCTTTGCATAGCTCCTTCAGGGTCGGCGACGTGTATGTGACACCCCTAATGTTGCAAGCGTTCATAGGCTACAGTAACCGTTTACCATCAGACACTATATGCTTATTTGCCACCTTTGTGGTATAAAAAAATAAACGAGTCACCAGAGGGAGACTTTGTACAAAAGTCGATTACTTGGGTACCTCTGTCACATTCGTGTTTCAATCGTAAAGCAGTTGTGTTTGCATGGCTGTGTTTCGGTTTGAAGGGTGGGATATGGCGTGAATTTACTGGGTACGGAGGAATAACACCTGACTCCTTAGGAATGGTAACGCATGGGGGGTATCATGGGCGAAACAGTATACTCTGTTGTGTCCATGGTACTGCTCGTCTATAAGCGACGGTTACCACTTTCCATCAGGTGGGCCGTCAGCTTGTTTGCCATTCTAAGTTATATATAAAAAAAATGGTAAAAAATTTTGCTAAATGTTGACTTAAATTGCTTTTCTTTTCAATTTCAAACCAATTCCATATTTAGGTAATTACCTAACTAATTAGTTCATATAAATTACTGTAATATTACTAGTAATTCATTTGAAAAGCTATCAGAATAGAAAATCTACTTGAATATTAAAATAAAGGTAAAATAAATTCCATAGTGGTACAAACTTAGATAAATTACTGTATAAATGTCTCTGGGTATACCATAGTTAGTTTGAATGTTAGCCCAATAGGAGATTTAGACCGTTTTTGGACGTCACGACCTTTGAAATGTCAGGAGGCAGTTCAAGATGACCTTGTCTGTTTATTTGTATAGATACGATCTGCGGTTACTTTTAGGGCATTAGCGAGTTAATTAAACAAATAAACAATATAATATAACGTGCACGTTCCGTATAAAATAACCCTTTTTGTACCCGTGGGTGTTGTAAGAGGTGATTAGAGTCTTAATGGTCGTGAAATGGACAGTAGCGTCCTTCTAAAACATCACAAAAAGTTAACTGCCAATTATGTCCAATAATTGGTTTTTATATTTATTTATACTATTCATATTATTACCTACTAACGACCCAGCGTTGGACTGGCAATATAGTTGAGGTGGCATTTACCAGCCGGGTCCCAGACTGCGTAGGCTCTCCACAGGTCTGGCTTGTGGGGCTTGCGGTGTCGCTACCAACTGGTGCAACTAGCATCATCTAGTCTCGGGCCCCGGACTTATGGTTAGCCACCCGGGCCCTTCCGGCCCAGTCCGAATCTGTAGCTACCCACATTAGCTTCGCACGAGTGCAATATAGTAACAATATGGTGTCAGTATGGAGTGATTAATAAATATTACTATTGTAACCGTCTAAATAGCTCCACATAATTTGTATACATTTTTTTTTAATATTAAAATGATTATAAAAAGCGGTCTATATAATATGAAATACCAACTCTTGACTTTTTTGTAGTCCTAATAATAATTTTCGATGAAAACCGACTTGATTTCTTCCGACATCTTGAACAATTATAGTTATATTTCATCAAATTAACACAAAACAATATTAAATTATTATATAAAATTACCAATATAAACTTTCCTCTTGAATTACTCTGTATAACGGATTGTATTCCGAGGAACTCTTCAATATAATGCTTAGAGCTACCTTTCACCATTGCATCGCTCACCATCGGCAGGGAATCCACTCTGACTGGGAAGATTGCTAGTTGCGAGCTTCAGTCACCGGTGGGTAGGCGCTGTGAGGAATACCGGGGTGTTTTTAGTGGGTAAAAATCCCACAGTACCCATTCGTCGTCCCGCCGGTGGATGGGTCTCTTTGGAAGATTTTCACCCTAGTTAAAAAAAAAAGGGAATTCATCCTGACACCTTAGAATGAGAATGGTCACGCACAGTGTGATTTCAGAAGAGCTTCCTTCCACTAACACTCAGGTTGTGGAATGATCTTCCTGACGAGGCTTTCTCTAAATTACAGTGGGGTTCTTCAAAAAGGATGTATTAAGGGTCTGCAACGGGCGCGTGGCATCGTTGGCAGTACAGACTACATCCAAAGGCTACGGTGATTCTTTTGCTATCAGACTGGCCGTATGTCTGTTTGTCAGCATAGTAGTTTAAAAAAATTATCTATTGATAAAAACAGACGGCGGGTAGTGACTTTATTTTATATTATATAAAGATACGAATATAATAAAACAACAGAAAAATATATTATTTATTTTTTATTCTACAAAAGGCGGACTAAATGCTAGTAGCATTCTCTATCAGTCAACCTTTGGGAACAGTGAATCACGAACGCGGTACTTCATTATAGGGATAGATAAAGAAAATATAAGAATTAATAGTATACGAGTATACCAAATAAATAATACATACCTAAATATAATGGAATATACATATATATGTATATCTACAACTAAATAGATATATAAAATATAAAAAATATATAAATAAAATATAAAAAATTATGATTAGCTACTATTGTATAAATATAAATAAGTAGTTTGTCTTACGCAATATGGCCGCACGTGAATTGTCTAATTATGCACAGAGCTCGTTATCTATTTAAATTAATTAGTACCTAATTATATTAAAACTAATTAGATTCAAGTCGACTTCTCCCTGTCACACTCCGCCATATTCTAAATTCAAATTGTTTAAAAATAAAGTGATTAGCTGTTTTTTTTTTTATATTTATGACTAGTTTCTATCCGTTACTTTGTTCGCGTGACCGAATTTAATATAAGTAATAAACAAACAGCCCTTCCTTTTCCGCGTGTGTCGTAAGGTGCGACTATGGGACCGTAATGATCGAGGGGTGGGTAACAGAGTCATTTTTAAAATATCATAGGCTACGGTAACCCCGTTTACCATCTGGGCCGTATGCTTGTTTGTTACCAAAGTAGTATAAAAAAAATCACCAAAGGCTAACTGTAGCCAACCCGTCTGCCTGGGGGGAAAGAGATTGTTAGCAATGGAGTTTGGGAGCCCCATTGCTAGCAATGTGCCCTATTAGGTCGACCTCCACGTGGTTCCCCCTGGAAACCATCGTGAACAATTCTTATTGAACTCGTGACGATGGGCTAACTGACCTGCTTCATTCTCACCTATCATCCTTCACTGGTGGCCCGTCAGTGTAAACCAATAGCGCGGGTGGGGTTACCATTCCATTATCACCCATAAAAAAAAACGGATAGGATTGTAAATAATGTTGAATATTAGTCACATTGCTAGCAATATACCCAGTCAAGACGACCTCCACGTGCTCCTCCCTGGGGGATTCATTCATCACGATGGGCTAACGGACCTGCTTTTCATTCTCACTTAACACCCCTCACTGGTGCCCCACCATTGGTGTATACCTTTCCCCCCCAGAATTCCATACTGTAGTCTCTAAGAAATAATAATAAAAAGAATAATTAAAATATATAAATTATATTTCAATATATATTGAGTGATTGAATTTTATTTGATGTAGAGGGCAAACGAGTATGCGGCTCAACTGAGGGTAAGTGGGGGGATTGTTAGTAATAGACCACCAGTCCTATTGCTAGCAATATAACCCCTTGTCAAGGAAGTCCCCTTGGAAACCATCATGTTGAATTCCAGATATATTCGTCACGATGGGCTAACTGACCTGCCCTTTCATTCTCCCCTATCATCCCTCACCGGTGTGCCGTCAGCGTTAACCGATAGCGAGGACGGGGTTACCATTCCATTTTTTTTTACAACACAGGGGCAAACGAGCATGCGGCTCACCTGATGGTAAGTGACTACCGCCGCCCATGATCACCCACAACACCAACGGCATTGCAGGTGTGCTGCCGGCCTTTTAAAAAGGAATATGCTCTTTTCTTGAATATTATGATGTGGTATCGGTTCAGAAATACTGCTGCTGGAAGTTGATTCCAAAGAGTGGTTGTGCGTGGAAGAAAGTGCCTTGAAAAACGCACCGTGGAAGACCGCCACTCGTCCAGATTCTCTTTCATTGAAAAAAAAAAACTGATGGTAAGTGACTACCATTGCCCATAGGCACCTGCAAGACCAGCGTAATTGTATTGCTGGCCATTTAGTAAGGAATGTGCTCTATTCTTGAAGGTTCCAATGTCGTGTCTGTTAGGAAATACTGTAGTTGCTAAAATTTCGAAGCGGACGAGATTTGAACCCGTACCTTCGCCATGCCGGGGTCAGTTTTGTCATCAATAAAGCTGCTAAGAGCTTGTTTATAAAATGCTGTAAATATTGCATATTTTCGAGGGAAATATGTAAGTAAAAATAAGTTTTTTTTTTTAATTTTTTTAATTAAAAAAATATTCTTTATTCAATTCGTATTCGTACATTACTATATGAGTCATATACGTATAATAATTAATATTCTAATTTATTTTTAATTAATTTTGTACACTTATTAACAATATTAGACGATCACAATGTTTTTCTTTTAAATTTAAACCGCTTATTAGAAACTACAAATAAATTTTATTAAAAACGAGCATCGTTACAGAATCTTTAATAAAATCAGAATCTTTAATCTTTCTTTCTTTTCTTTTCTTTCTTTTAATCTTTACAATATTTGTAAAGAACTCCGGAGACGCTCAAAGTGATTCAAACGTGTAATGTCTTACGACAGAAAAGTTAAACTTGCGAAAGACAGGTGTTCAATAACTGTTTAGACGTCTTACCGCAAAAGCCTGTCTGACAGATGTTTATGTCTAAATAAAAGAAATACGTTATTAAAAAATAATAGGCATTTAAACTAATAACCTTTATTATAATAATAGATTTTGGCATATAAAACTGAAAATAAATATTATCACAGACTGCAGAATATTTAGTCACTTAGAGTTTTGTTAAACTCTGTTTAGATAAGCAATGTTTTAAATTATTTTTTTGTGTGTGTTAGGTAATTTTGGTTGTGAGTCAATTATGGATTAAAATGGTTATATAACTCATTCATATAACCATATTCGTGTTGGTATGAAAAGCTTGCCGTTTCCTTTTAAAAATTAATAATTTAATATTCCATGCGTTATTTGTCACAAGACCGTCTTTGGAGCTCTTAACTTTAAAGAAAATTAAAAAAAAAAAAACTCTTCATTAAAAATAATTATATCATTACAATAAAAATACGAATACATTGAAAATTGTTTAAAACTAATAAATTAAAACATTATAAAAATTGAATTTATTTACATTAAAAAATTCATAGTATTGTCGTTAAATTGTTGTTTTTTTTTTCTATTTGTATTCCTTATTGCTATGTTTAATACAACATTTGTATGTCACGAGAAGATTTATATATAATATATACATATTCAAATAAGTAACTACAGTTGCCAAGCCGCTTGCCAAACGTGGCAACTACTGGTAAAACCCTCCCTTTGGAGGCCAATATTCAACAGTATTCAAAATCAAAATAGATAATTAATAAGCATCCAAATAAAGGGAAGCAAGCAAGTTTTGAACTTTAACAAGACAGTCTTATACAAAATGATGGTTCATCCGTCATACTCGTGAACGGGTACTGCTTGTAGAGACTGATCTAGTTATCTATTGTTTATAATTGATTGTGACATTTTACATTGAATAATACATACAAATAGAATTCAATTCTTAATTATAGTCATGGGTCAATTTGTTTTTGGGTGGTCAATTTTACATTTGTATGGGTACTAACTCATACAAATGTAAAATTATCTTGTATATAAGTCGATTGATAAAAGTAACTGTTGAGTTTCTTACGGGTCCTTCTCAGCAGACAACAACAATAAAACTATACACAGCTTTTATTTGAATAAAAAATAATTTATTCTATTCTAATGGGAAATTTTATCAAATCTATCAATAAAATGATACATTACAATAATCAATATATTGAACACTTACTTAAAACTAAAATTGAATTAAAATTTATAATAATTTTATTTAATTACATCATTATAAAATTCGTATTATTTTAGTGGAATCCTATTTGCGATGTTACGCCAAGTACCTAACTAACACCAAAGTATAAAATTGAAAATATAAATGTGTCAAATTCATAAAAATTATAAATTTTTCCTCATCTTAACCTATTTCATTATTTTGTTTTTAATACACATTCACTTGAGTCATCAATAAGTAAACATTGTTTCAACTCACACACGCACATTATAAAATCAATTAAGCCCCATCCACACCGATCAGTGCTGATACGTGACGAATAATACTAACCAGTAAAACATTACACGAGGGGAGGTCAAAAAGTTTGCGAAATAGAGGGGTTGGTGGGGGGGGGGGGTTGGTTTACTCGTCCAGGTAGTCACTTATTAAGCACTTCATTAACAGTATAATAGGGAAGAAGTTATGGCCCGAATTGTTACTGGAGATGAAACCTGAATTCACCACCTGAGTCGAAGCAAGAGTCGATGCAGTGGCATAAAAAAGGTACAACTCCTCCGACGAAGTTTAAAGTGTGACAATCGGCCGGAAATATCATGGCGACTACCTTTTAGGATACAGAAGGTATTTTGCTGATCAATTATAAAGATCGTGGTGTAACTATAACAGGACAGTACTACGTTTCTTTACTGGACAGATTGAAGGAAGCTATCAAGGAAAAAAGAAGGGAAAAGCTGTCAAAAGGTGTGCTCCTTTTGCAGGACAACGCTCCGGTCCATATGTGCCATGTTGCGACGGCTGCCATCCACCGATGCGGGTTTGAAAAATTAGACCACCTACCTTATAGTTCAGACTTGGCTCCCAGGGACCATTATTTATTTCCAAAAATGAAAAAGAAGCTGCGTGGAAAAAAAATTGGCGACGATGAAAAAGTCAAGTCTGCGATTTTGAAGTGTTATGGCAGCAAAGATAAACCTTTTTTTTTTTCGATGGTATAAACAAATTATTTGAGAGATATGAAAAATGTATTAAGGTTAGGGGAGAATATATTGGAAAGCAAAAATAGTTTCATGTTTAATTTCAACCCCCTTTCTCCTCATTACGCGAACTTTTTGACCTCCCTTCGTATTACTATATTCATTTTGTATGACAACCTATGCTTGTCACATTAGTAACATTCAATGACGTCATTGTTGGGTTGACTCTGTGATCCGAGATGAGTTTCTAGTTGAGAATATTTTCGACGACTGTATTATACGCGAGTGATATAATATATGACGAAATATTGTTAAAATTGGTTCGTTTTTTATAAATGAAAGTAACAAATATTCCTTGTTCGTCATTATATTTATATGCAATAAAAACCTCAAATATGTCTATTAAAGTCACGGAGCACGTTGATGCTGATGCGTGCCAGATAGCACGACACGCTGATCGTCACGTATCGACGCTGACCAGTGTGGATGTGTCTTTAATCACTGTACATAACTTGTACCGTAATTATACACATACAAAACATTTTTTAATGGTGTAAATATTACAACCATATCACACACACACACACCAAATACACATCGCAAACAAAAAAAATTGCGACATATTTACAATGGGGTACTTTGACAGTGACCTTGACCTTCATGATTGAGAGTAAATCACACATCCGTTTCCATCAGAATACACATCGTAGACAACATTCTTGCTATATTTCATGTAATTTGGGGGTAAGTTGACAGTGACCTTGACCTTGACCTTGACCTTGTAGTAGTCGTAGAGGGCGGTGGCGGCGCTGGCGGCGGCCTAGAGCAGGGCCCTGGCGGCGCTGCTGCTGGGCCGGTGGCGGTGGCGGCGGCGGGCGCGCGGGGCGCGGCGTCAGCGCGGCGGCGCGGCGGCGGCGGGCGGCGCCCAGCGCAGGCACGCCGCGTCCACGCAGCGGGCTCGCTCCGCGCGACGGGACACCTCCTCCAGCACCTCCTGCGGCAACCATCGCCACCGTACACATCTTGCATACCATACATACTATACACTCATAGACCCCATTGCTAGCAACACACCCTATCAAGTCGTCCTCCACGCGGTTTCCCTAAGAACCATCGTGGTTAATTCTTTTTTTTTTATACAACTTAGAGTGGCAAATAAGTTGACGGCCCACCTTATGGAAAGTGGTAACTGTCGCCTATTGACATGAGCAGTTTTAACATAGTAGGCAGTTAAATAAAAAAAAAAAAACATTCAATGATAAATTTTCTGTCTTTATTTTACTTATTTATATTTACCATATTATCAATATTATATTGCTTTTTCATACACACTGTCAACATTTAAATAGTACGAAAAAAAAACGCGTGAGCAAATAATCGCGCGGTTATTTTTAGGGCATTTAACACTCAACGCTACATCTATACGTATATGATCTAAACAATAAAATATACAAAAACGCGTACCTGTTTCTTTAAAACGATATGCTTTCCTTTCCAATACTTCATCAGTCCACGTTCTTGGAGTGTGGACACTATATCGGAGGACGCAATGGCCAGATCCTTGCTCAGGTCTCTGATGCAGAGTGTGGGACCGGAGGCAGAACATAGCCGCCGGAGTAGCGCCTCCTTCCAATAGGATCTGTACGAGATCAGCCCCAAATCTGAGAGAGGCGTCTCGGGAGAGCCAACTTTTCCTTCCACTTTAGTCAGAAGATAGCCTGGTGGGGAAACAGAATTATGTTTAATTTACATTATAGAATTTTTTTTATTCAATTTAGAATGACAAACAAGCTGACGACCCAACTGATGGAAAGTGGTAACCGTCGCCTATAGACATGAATTATATGTCCATAGAGTACAAATATAAGATAATGGAAAGCTTCTCAAGTGGCGACCAGTAAAGCAAGCCAAAACAGCGACAGTATACAGTGACCTTTTTGAACGATTTCTGTATATATGTATAACGGGAATTTTAAGAATTTATCCACATCGACATCTTTATCTCTCTACTAAAGGGCTCTATGAGCAGCCGGGCTGCAGCTGCAGCTGCAGTACGAGACGAGATGCTGTGGCAAAAACCGTCGAACTCGAAGTCGAAGCAAAAACGATAAACACAATAAGTTCATAAAACTACATCTAATATATAAAATTCTTGTGTCACGGTGTTTGTTACCAAACTCCTCCGAAACGGCTTTACCGATATTTATGAAATTTTGTGTGCATATTGGGTAGGTCTGAGAATCGGCCAACATTTATTTTTCATACCCATCAATGAAAAGGATGACCCACCCTAAATTTTTTATTTTTTTTTATTTTTTGACAATGTTTTTTATTTTTATTTTATTATAATTTAGCATTGAAAAATACATACAACTTCAAATTTTCATCGTTTTACAATCAAGCCAACATGTATTTTAATCGCGATTTTTATATTTCGCAATATATATATATATATATATATATATATATATATATATATATATATATATATATAAGCTCGCTAGCAATACTAGAGGGTAGACTGCTTGTTTACTTCTGTCCCACTCTTATTCGTGCTGTGAAGCAGCTGTGCTTGTCTGGCTGCTTTGTTTTAGTTGGAAGGCTCATCATTATCATATAAGTCATTAACTGTCCACTGCTGAACATAGGCCTCCGCTTTGGAGAGTTTTGCCAACAATTGGCACCCTTGGTAGGTGGATTAGCAACCGCAGTTACGCTTTGGTGATGTTTTAAGAGAGACGCTACTGCCGATCCATCGACCTTTAAATTCCCTTAGTCGTCTCTTATGATACTCGCGAGAAAGGAATTGGCGACCCATCTTATACCCATCGTGACAAATTCCTCAAGTAGTAACAATGACAGTTTCCAGGGGCAACCGCGTGGTGTTCAGGTCGAGCTCCATGCTTGGGTATATTGCTAGCAATAGGGCTGTTAGACCCCCATTACTTGCCATCCTTTTTCGCGCAGGCGGGGCTACCATTCCATTATAATCCATTGAAAAAAAAAAAAAATACCATGAAATACATTATGGATCGGTAGGTAAACAGTTATTGTTCCGGCATCGAGAAGACCAATAAATCAATCGATATATTGAACGCCGTTGTGCTAGAAACCAGTGTGCTGTGACGTTGCCGCTCGTTGAACATTTATTGGGTTCCGTATGATATGTAGCCTGGTTTTTTGTGACGAGTCAATAATTGGCGGGAAGGTATTTATGCATGTAATTTTAGTAAAGATCGGTCATATCACACAACGCCGCCTAGTCATAAACTAAACTGAACTTGTATTATGGGTACTAGAAAAATTTACGTGTATTTTTATTTATTTATTTTAAATATTAAACATCTGGAATCAACAGCGTATATCTAGAATAATTAAATATATTATATTTACACCGTACATTAATCAATAACGGATTCCCAATTTGTATACCAGACAATATTACGTTTATTTTTGAAGGGTAGGTTAAATTAAATAGAAATATATATATATATATATATATATATATATATATATATATATATATATATATATATATATATATATATATATATATAAAAATAAAATCTATGGAGATATTTATTTGAAACGTCGCATCACTGGAAGTTCAGAGTAGAGAGTGTATAGATAAATAGATAGACTTACATTACTCACAGCACACAAATAACAACAGATATATACGCACATATTCAAAAAAAGAAATAAAAGAATACTCGACAAAAAAAAAGAAAACAGAAAGAAAATATTAAATTTTTCGTGAATGTGCTAGAGTAATACAAAATGGCCACAGCTCAGTTTATTACTTTGCCCTTAAATGAGCATTACACTGATATTATGTTGTGGTCAAAAACCAAAAGCCTATTTCAATACTTTTTTCAAAATATATTTGAATATCTTGATTATTGTGTACTTGAATATATTTTATATTATTAAAAAAGTATATTTGAATATTTTTTTTTCTCTTGCTTGTGTTCCACAAATAAAACGACTTCTTTTGATATAAAATCTAAACGACTGAATCGATTTTGATAAAATTTCTATAGACCAATTTAAAAGTATATTCTTTCAGACGAAAAAAAAAATCTAAATCGATTTACAACTGACGATTTATAAATACGATCGAATTGAAAGACTTTTTCTTTTTAAGTCGATTGAAAACAACATTACTACGGAATCCTATCTAGATAGTACAGCTCGCATGCTCACACCACATGGAATAAACCAACTGGCCGTGAACACGTTGGAACACAACCGTAACATTAAGGCTAGCGACGTCGTTTGCAAATTTAATTACAATAAAATCGATGGCTTGTTTCATAAACGTGCTAATTACACAATTGTCATTAAGCTCCTATCACAGTTCTCCTAGAAAGATGTGTTTAAAAAATGGCGTCAAAAAATCTTTAAGGGCTGCGCAGACGACGGTCATTTTATTTGCAGACAAAATTATAACTTTGTATGAGTTGCTACGCAAATGATCCCGGAATAGATTAGACCACCCCTTCCTTTCCCGTGGGTGTCGTAAGAGGCGATTAAAGCCACTTAATAGTCGAAGGATGGGCAGCAGTGTCCCTCTTAAAAGATCACCAAGACTTAACTGCGGTTATTTTTTGGGGGGAAAGGGATTGTTAGTAATAGAGACTGAGAATCCCATTGCTAGCAATATACCAAACCAGGTCGATCTCCTCGCGGTTCTCCCTGGAAACTATCATGGTTAATTCCTTATGAATTCATCATGATGGGCTAACTGGCCTGTTTTCATTGTCATCTATCACCCTTCACTGGTGCTCCGCCAGCGTATCCCCTTAGCGCAGGCGGAGTTACCATACCATTTTTACCCATCAAAAAAAAAACATCACCAAGACCTAACTGCGGTTATCAATCCACCTGCCAAGAGTGCCACCTGTTGGCAAAACCTTCCAAAGGGAATGCCTTTGTTTAACAGTGCACAGTTAATGGCAAATATTTTGAGAAAACTTTATTATAATAATTATATAATGATTACATAATTCTATAATTATTGCCTTTATTTTTAATATATACATGGCAATGTGACTTTGTAACGGTCGCTGAACCCCAAGGGCCTGACTTAAAATGGCAACTTTACAAACTATGACAAGTAATTATAACATATTGTTAACTTTGTACAAAAGTCGTTTGCTTGAGTACCTCTGTCCCATTCGTGTTTCAATCGTGAAGCAGTTGTGTTTGCATGGCTGTGTGTCGGTTTGAAGGGTGGGATATGGCATGAATTTACTGGGTACAGAGGAATAACACCTGAGTCCTCAGGAATGGCAATACATGGAGGGTATCATGGGCGAAACAGTATACTCTGTTATGTCCATGGTACTGCTCATGTCTATAGGCGACGCATAGTGGGAACTCTCCTAAGAAAGCCATCTCATAAATACTTTTTCTAAAACTCTGTGGATATGCATGTATAATACCTCAAATGTAGCTAAAGAGTTACTCTATCATTATAAGTATGATTAAAATCTGTCACTGTTCATACTTCACAGAACAGAGCATCTAAAGTCAAGGAATGAAAAAAATACAAAAATAATGAAACTTAAATTTCGTTTGGTATAATTTTATAGTATCAAAACAATAGAAGTCATATAGTGTGATACCATTTTAAAATGCTTAGAATGTGTACTTTACTATAAAATAAAAATATATTTAGTTTAGTACAATATTACTTAACCAAAGAACCATATATCGTTATATGTATTATTTTCTTTTCTCAAACTTTCAGTTGGAGATTTGACAGTTGCCGAAGCTTGCCGAAGTTATGATTTTGGTTTAATTTATTAGGAAATATAATGTAATTTGAGGGCAAAAGATCTTTTTTTTGCAGTTTTACTGCGTAATATATTTAAATCTAGTATAATATCATGGTGAGAATGTTTTTTTCTAAGTACGTATATTAAGATTTTTTTCTTTATTTGAGATTCTCTGTCTGGACACTCAAAAAAATACTTTTGTCTCAATTATTACTTTATATTTTATCTTTTGCGTTACTTTTAACAAGTATTTCACATAGTATTTAGTTCCCATTTCCATACAGACCTATTCTTTACCGCATAACCGCATAATGATGAATTTTTTAAATCAAGTAATTTTGCACACGTCTATGATCATTATTAAGTATAAAATAGTGCATTTACATATGAAATATTACAGTTCTTTATAAGCATTTGTCATTTCTAAACAATTGTTAATTACTTATCTCTCCGCAATGAGTGAAGTCTCGTGTACCGGTTGAAAGTGATACAAATTATATTGATTATATCTCAAACTATGTACGAAATAATATTACCGAATCTTCAGATGCGAATATAGCAAAAATTATCGCAAGTATTTAGAAGTTCTTCATAACTCAGTTTCGTCAACGCTATACGAAATGTGGTCGAAAGAAAGAACAGTTTTTAAATCAAAATAGCAATTGGTTTAATGTAATTTTCACTGTAAATCTAGAAAAAACAACATGCGAACCTGAACCTTCTACTTCGACAGAGAAAAGAGGAAGACCTTCTAAAAGATACGATGACAGTTCAGAGAGTACAAAGAAACGGAAAAACAAGGGACTGCTTGATACCTATGGACTTGATTTCATACTGAACTCATATGTACAGGGTTTAAGGTCACGTGGTAAAGTAGATGAAGCATTCATCGTTGATATTTTACGAGCATGGCCGTCAGAAAAAAAGAGTGAAATACGCAGTAATTTTTTTAATGAACCGACACATATAACAGCATATTTAAAAGATGAAGATCTTAGCATTTTTGTAGAATTAGATCTGAACAAGGCACAGTAAGAAAATATGATGAGTTGTTTGATAGCAAAGAATTGCTTATTGTTTCCATCATACAAATTGATTCGTGAAGTTACAGAATCTTGCTATCCGCAAAATCACAAGGTGTTGATTCATTGTGCTTTCACACTTTTGTGATACGTTACTTTTCTGTCTTGCCTCTTGGGCAACTTTCAGAAGATGATCAAGAGTCACGGAACAAAGACTATAAGCAGTTCAGGCTTCATCATGCAAGACAATGTTCGAGGGTAGCCACTAACGAAGATGTTCTACACGCACTTTTATATACCTCTGACCCATACATAACAAGTTTAAGAAAACCTTCCAATAAAAAATATTTAGAACTTTTTGATGAAGTAAAGGAGCTCTTGAGTGACTTCTAAGTTATCTTTATAAGAGTTTTTGTTTTTTACGCAGATACTTTTACTTATTCCTGTATAAATTTCTTAGGACATAAATGTAAGCCTACAAATTTTATATTTCTTGAATTCCTATATTATTTATAACTATTAGAAATAAATTTTTACTCACAACGCATACATAATTTAAAAGCATATATATTTAAGATTATCAGGAAAAAAAAACTCATGTACATATCTTTATTAATACGGAAGTTATAGATTTATGAGATGAAAAGGAGTCAAAGTTCCCACTGTGCGACGGAGGAAAAAAAAAAAACTTTTGTCTCTATTTTATTACTGTTTAATGTCGTAGGCAATTAAATAAAAAGAAAAAAAAAAAACATATAAACACTAGTTATCTGACGAACGGCGGTTATCAATGGCTGATATCCACCTGCTTAGCGTAGCTTATGTTCATCAGTGGACAGTTATCGGCTGATATGATGATGATGATGATGATGATGAAGATGATTGTGAACTTGTACAACGTGTGTTAACGCAATCGTAGTGATATTTATGGTTGGACTAAATAAAATATGAGGAGTGTCTTTCGTTGTCTTAAAAGTCCAGGAAGACGAGGAAAATAATAAGGGAAATTATACGTATATCTGCGGGATAGCGTGGAGATTTCATAAAAGGCGGGAAAGTCTTAAAACTCTGAGCAGACGATGGATATTTTATTTGCAAGCAAAAATTTTACAATGTGTGAGCATAACACGTGTACTTTTAGTTCTTTTTTTTTATGATCGTATAAAAAATTGTGATGAGAACTCTCTCACTCTTGCATATCTTAAAATTTGTGAAGATTAAGGTTTTTTTTTTATATTAAAAGTCCGGGAAGATGAGGCAAACATAAAAGGAAAAATATTTGCGCCCAATATGCCCTTCGTCTACGCAGGCCATTAGGGTCAACAACATGCACGCAATTCTCCTGGTATTGCAAGCGTTCATTGATTAACGTAACTGAATATCATCAGACGGATTCAATGCCTTTACTTTCTCAATATATTAAAAAAAATTGTAGAATGTAAGAATATTCTTATACAAATGGGCAATTTTTTATATATAGGTAAAGCGTCCTATCGTTTTATTTTCTTCACAGCAACAGGTTCTCATTTGTTCAGTTAGGCAGATCTACGGCCGCTAATGCAAGAATCAAATTCTAAGCGCACGCGATTACAAATTCTAGTCCAGATATTTTTTTAATCTACGATTACTGATTTTGGCAAAATTATCCCTTTTTAAATTACACACTAAGTTTGAAACTAGAAAGAAAATCCGGCGCGAGGGACCAAGAAAAAAATATTTATAATTAATCTATAACTATCAATTATTATTAATTATTATTATTTAATAAATTATTATACTTATATTTCTTAAAAGGCAAAAAAGTATTAAAAATGATATAACCAATTTTATCAAATACGTTTTAGAAAACTGGCATTTTACTGCTGCTTGGATGACTACTCGTATAAGATGCCGTCCGAAGTACAGCGGGAGGCAAGTTGCTTTACGTAAATGAGGCCCTGAATTCAATTATCGATCGGACCAATTTTGGAAACTTTTCTAAATTGGCTCGAATAATTATTTATTAAAATGATGGTGTATTAGTGTACCAAATTAAAAAAAAAAACCGTACAGCAATCGTTTGGACGTGATTGATTCACAATTACAAACATTCCGATTTATAATATTAGTGGAATAAGCTCACGCTATCTCCTTTTGGAGTAAGCAGAAACCACAAAACGAACCGTAACATTTTGTTAATTAAAAAATAAGATACGTGCGTTATTAAAAATGTTAATTAGTGTTGTCACCGACGAAAACAATAGGTAATTAAACGAACATCAAAATTCGTGGCATCTACAATCCGTCTCGCCCCACCACCGGTGCTCCGGGCCCCTGAGGGGGGTCGGCGTGAGTCTAGACGGCAGACCGATCTATACTGCAGTGCATCGATCGGGGGTCGACGGCCCCGCCGCGACGCCACCCCTGTGGGGGACAAAACAAACCCCCGTTTACGATGTTGACCGCTCAGGTGTGTTGCCGTAAAAATCGGGGTTATGGATTCTTGCGTTTGTGGCCGCCAGTGATTCCGCGTGTCAACTGTTTCGCTTAATCAGCTATTCTATTCTATACTACAAATACAAATGTGAATGTTTGTAAATGTTTGGACGTTCATTACTCAATTGCGCCAAAATTGGAGAATACCAAAAATCATACTCTGAGTAACGAATCACAGTATGATTTTATTTAATAAATAATAAATATAATAATAATAATATAATAGTAAAATTTTTTATTGAGTAAATGTATTTTTTCCAATAAAACGATGTTAGAAAAATGCATATAGCAATAAACGAATTTTAGTAATTAATTAATTGTCACTTTTATTTATATGTTATGAACTAAGTGATTATACAAAATGCTCGGGCATTATGAAAAATAACCAATATGATATGACAAATTAATAAATTGGATCTATATACCGAACTGGACGGTAGGGAAAATATAAAATTATAATGTAAAAATTTGACGTTCATAAGCGGCTAAAATGTCCTACATGAATAAATGATTTTTGAATTTTGAATTTTAAATAACTATTTGAATACGTATATACTTATTATATAATTATCAATAAAAATTAAATATTCTAAGTAAATTATATAAATAAAAAGAAACGAGTTATTATTTACTTAATTTTAATTGCAATTGTTATTTATAATATAAATTAAGTAAAATAAAATTCAGATAAATTATTATTGACTTATTTATATATAATATTGTTAAATTGTTGTATGTTTGTAATTTTATACTTATATAATGAATATCATATTCAACACAACATAACAATATTGGTTTTGGAAAAAAATTAATTGAATGGCTGAACGTGTTTGGTGTTAGTCAATATAATAATAATAATAATTTTTATTACGGACTTTTTTGGTCCATTAAATATTTATTAGTAACAATACTCTTAAATCTAATGTTAGTAAATTTACATACACAATACAAACACACACACACACACACACACACACACACACACACACACACACACACACACACACACACACACACACACACACACACACACACACACACACATAATATATTAAATAGTATACAGACAATCACCGCTGCACAATTCCATTGGACATTGCCCAGCAGCGATTAACGTACACACAGTCCAGCCTGCTTGCCATCATACTCAGGATGCTGTTGGCGCTGGCACGTACTCTGTGCACCGGGGATGCACACCTTTTTCGCATCGTGGCATAAAAACAATTTACACGATGCTCGGCGAACATCTCTGACGCGCTACACAATCGTGGCAGCAACCATCAACACAGTATACAATATGCACAGGCTTTTAAATATTCAACCAATACGTTATTATAGACATTTGAAGACATAACTATTACATTAAGTTCCTTGACTTTTTTTAACAAATAAGTTTTTATTTGGATCCAAACGTGAAACCCAACTTTGGATCTTAGTTAAATATAATTCGTGTTACGAATTCGTAAAGAATTTTAATAATTATTTTTTTTTTAGTCATAAGTTTACTATAATTATGAATCCATAATAATTATACAAAATACTTTTTTTAATTTTATTATCCTAGTTACAGGTAAAGATATGGTCTGGAATAGAGCTGACTGGAAGAAAATGCATGAATCGCTGATGAAACCGCTGCAACAAGCAGCGACAAAAAGAAACTCTTAAAAGAAAAGAGAGAGAGAGAGTTATAAGTAAATGTTGTTATTCTTGTTTACCACCTTAGTGGTATAAAAAAAATGTCGCCTATTGACATAAACTCGCCATAGACATCACAGAATATACTGTGATGCCCATAATAGATCTCACATATTACTATTTCTGAGTCTGGTGATACGCTTTCATACCCTGACGGCGTGGAGAACGACCTGGCATTAGTAGCAACGGGGACTAACGCCCCCGTCACTAATTACCCCTTTCCCTGTGAAAGGTCGATAGACCGCTTGTAAGGTCGAAGGGTCCGAATTTGTCAAAATGCATTAAAAAATAAAAGGCAAATTTGCCGTAAAAATTATGTCCGTCTTCTTATCGGTCTTTTGTCTAAGTCCATTTGTTTTGTCCCAAGCTGTCAGTTTTAATTGTAGAATGTCTTAGCGGCCAGCGAGAAAACCGGTCAAAGAGGCTGCAACACCCCGGAAAAAATGGATAAATAGAACAAAATTATTGGCACACTCACTGAAGTCGATGAGCAATCTCCCATAACCCTGTCTCTGGTAGGGGGGCAGAGTCAATATGCACGACACGTTGTAGTTCAGGAAAGAATTCTTCTCCTGCATAAAAAAAAAAACATATAAATAAATAAAAACATTTTTTTTTACGATTTTTAACTACAAACTAACTATTTTTAATAACAATCGGGTCGTTGTGTGTGAATATTACAAATATCTTAATGTAATTGATTGATTTTGTAAATACCGTGCTTAGTGACTTGTATTTGGAGAGGCCTATGTCCAGCAGTGGACTGCATTAGGCAAATTGTGATGATTATGATAATGATTCCTATAATTATTTGGTGATTGAAAAATAAAAAGGATAGGATTTGAACTCGTACCTTCTACGCCATGCCGGGGTCAATGCCCTGACCGGTTAAGCTATCGTTTCATTGGACACGCGTTTGAAATTTTTCAATCGACTTAAAATTAGTGAAATATGATTTTTACATTTTAATAATATTTGTATATTAAATTGCAATTATGTAGTAAATTGTCAAGTGTCTAATTATAAATAAAAAAAGTCTTAAAAGTTTACTGTTCTGTTAATCTAGCTTTATTTTATTTGAAGCCAAATTTATTTGTTATAATTATTATTTCAATTAAAAATTTACTTTAATAAAGTTTTCTCATATCATTTTACTAATGATACTTATTTAAAATTGTTTAATTTCAGACAATATAACAATAATTTAGATTCTTATATGAATTCGCAAATTATTTTTTCAATTTCGAACATTAAATGGAATTAAAGAAAAAAAAACAATAGAACGGAGAAAAAAAAAATAGAGTCGAACGAATCACAATTCGAATTTCGAATCGTGCTTATTACAAGGGCATTTCCTAGCAGCGTACCGAGCAAGCTAACACAATTTGTTCGACAATAGCTGACGACGACCGTTTATTTTTAAACTAAGCATCCCCGCGAAATGAGACGCACACTGCACTGCATTGAGATTTATTCAGTTAGGTGTGTGCACTGCCGTCTAGACTGTAGACGGATAGAGTGTGTTCACATCGATAAATTGTCACTCGGGCCGCGGGAGGGCTACATCTTTCGGCGACAGCTGATCGTGTACACGTTGTATAATACATTTGGAGATGTAATTTTCTTTATTAAAAAAGTATATTATATATATAAAATATATTATATATAAAAAAGTATAGTATATATACAGTGACTATAATTAGTACAATAATTATAGTCACTGTACCCATCATCATATCAACTTTTAACTTTCCACTGGTAAACATAAGCCTCCCCTAGGGGGGTTACGCCGGTAGTTGTCACGTTTGGCAAACGTGTTAACAACCGCAGTTAGGCTTTGGAGATGTTTTAAGTAGAGTACACATGTAAAATTGTTTTATTTATTTATTTTCAAATATATAATATGCATGATACAAAAGGAAACATTATCGCTAAGGTAGTGGCTATAATATATGTGACAAACATATATTTAATAGCACATACAACGGGAGAGAATGAAAGAGAAAGATGAAGGAAGAGAGAAATAGTTTCTTGCGGGTTCTTCTCAGCAGATAACTTTCTGCACGCAGCAATAGAATCATAAAAAATTTACGATTTAAAATAGCTTGTAAACAACTATATGTGAATCAGGATTATTTCTATTCTATTCTACATTTTATCAAATTTGATGAGAGTATTGATGACTAATAGTCTCATCAAATTTAATAAAATATCTCGCTAGCGTAAACAAAAAGCAGATGGAATTACTATTCTTTTATCATCAATCACTAATCTGTAAGAATTATATACGCCTCTAATTGATATCATCATCATCATTAAGGCTAGATGATATAATTGATATCATCTAGGCTTAATCTTACTTATAGCATTGTACCTAGTTTATTTAATTATTGTTGGTGTGTCTTTTATAAATAAATAAATCAATCAATCAATAATACAATAAATAAATAAAACAATCAATAATACAATAAATAAATCAATCAATCAATAAATAAATAAATCAATAATACAATAAATAAATCAATCAATAAATAAATAATAGCTACAAACAAAAACACTGAAATAAATAACAGACTTCAATAAATTATTAAATATTTGATGCAAACTACCCCGAAATTACTATAAGTCACGAATAAAAAATCTAATCACTTACAAACACTTTCTAGAATTGTTTGTTAAGGAGCTTATATTTACTTTAGGGTCAGACTAGGGGTTTTTAACGATTCGGGAAGTGGGGGGGTCCCGCCCCCAGCAGTTCATCGACCTGATGCTGCAGACGGTGCAGCCCAGTCGGCTACAGGCGTAGTAAAGTTTAGGTGAACTTGCCTATTATTTATGTAGAGCTGTCTGTGTGTTGGATACATGTTGTATTGATATTGGGTTTATTTTCTGGTATGTTTATTTTGTGGGAAGTGTCAGGTTTGAAGACGAGTTGGCTTAAGACAATCTAAGATTAATCCTTATTAATATTATAAGTGTGAAAGTGAGTTTCTTCGTTTATTTGTTACCTATTAACGCCTTACCCAGGGGGGAAGGGATTGTTAGTAGATTACCCATAAGGTTAACCTCCACGTGGTCTCCCCTGGAAACCATCATGCTAAATTCTTGGTGTATTCATCACGATGAGCTAACTGACCTGCCTTTTCATTCTCACCTATCACCCCTCACTGGTGCCCCGCCAGCGTATACCGTTAGTGCAGGTAGGATAACCATTCCATTATCATCATTTAAAAAAAAACGCGTTAACCAATTAACATTAAATTTGATATACATGTACTATATGGAAAGATAGAAGGTTTTAGGCTACAATTTAACCCGGTTACGCAGACAAAGTCGTGGGTAAAAGCTAGTACGAAATAAATCATATTAGGTACAACATATTTGGTGCATCAATTTTTGCGTGATGCCGGAACAAACATACAGACAGACATAGACCGACAGAGAAACAGACAGACAAAATTTCTAATAATTACTGTTTTGGCATCTACGGGATTGTTACCCCTCATACTAATTTTTCTTAAATATAGGAGATATGTTCGGACATTTTTTTTTATACAACTTACAATGGCAAACAAGCTGACGGCCCACTTGATGGAAAGTGGTAACTGTCGCCTATAAACATGAGCAGTACCATGTACATAACAGAGTATACTGTTTCGCCCATGATACCCCCCATGCGTTGCCATTCCTGAGGGCTCAGGTGTTATTCCTCTGTACCCTGTAAATTCACTGCCATATTCTACCTACTTTTTTGAAGTCCATCCTATTGTGTCAAGAGACTGAAGTAATAAACATTTTTATTTAAGATGAAAATCTTTATTGCAAATCCGTGATTCTCCCGGTAACTGGCAAATACGGTTGAAGTTGCACACTGTACCCGGATATGCCCGGGTGTGACGGGTCACTGACCTCAGTGTCTCGAGTCCCGCCGTAGACGTCTTCTACACTTCTACGTATAACGAATGTATCACTGTCTCGAGTTTAAGATCAATGGAGGGACACCACGTTTTACGGTCGACGGTTCAGTTGAGTACTAATACAGAGATTGTTATATACTAAATCATAGAAATACATAATTATGTAACAATGGAGACTAGATTTCCTAATATTATTTCAGCTGCTAACATTTTACATCTGCTGTCATTTGCTGAACAGTAGACCTACCCCATAAGGGGCGTTACCAATAGTTATCACGCTTGGCAGACGAGTTTGCAACCGCAGTTAGGCTTTTTTTTTAATGGGTGATAATGGCAATCCCACCCGCGCTAACGGTATATTCTAAGTTGTATAAAAATATATATATATATATATATATATATAAATTTAATAATTAACTTTATATTTGTATCACTATTGCATAATAATATAATGTGTTTTCCCGTGTAATCCCAGCATAGAATAAGCAACCCCTTCCTTTCCGTGGGTATCGTAAGAGACGACTAAGGGAACTTAATGATTGAAGGATGGGCAGCAGCGTCTCTCCTTAAAACACCTTATGTGGGAGACCTATATTCAGCAATGACACTTAACGGCTGAAATGGTATAGTATAATGTCTTTTGGTCAGATTAATAATTTATTTACATTTTCATTAAATTCTAACAAAAGTGACTCCATTTTTTTTTCTTAGTACTAAGAGTCTATATTTATATTTACTGTACTTTTTTTTATGCAATTTAGAATGGCAAACAAGCTGACTGTCTACCTGGTGGAAAGTGGCAACCGTCGTCTATAGACATGAAAAATACTATGAACATTACAGTGTATACTGTTTCGTCCATGATACCCCTCGTGCGTTGCCATTCCTGAGGACTAAGTTATAATGAAGTATATAAATAAATAAATGGTACCAGTCAAAGTGTTAAACCGGATGGTTTAATTTAACTCACGCTAATGGGTATAAGCGCTAGTTAAATTAAACTATTAATAAGCATTTTTACACCAGTCAGTAGTAAAAGCAAAAAGTTCTTGTGAAGCACTCGAGTGTTCGCGTCTACTACGTCGTAGCGCGTCTACGTTACGGTTTCACGGCTACGCTCGCCGTAGACAATTAGCGTAGCAATCCCAATAGTTATAATGTGAGTTCTAAACGTAACACTCATAAGGACGGATTTCGATTGTTCTATGTAAAAGTTGTAATGAACTGAAGTTTCGTTGTGATGAATTAGTTACCTATTTCGTAAAAATGTTAATTGCTATCCACTGGGGGGAGAAGGGATTGTTAGCAATGGGGACTAGCAACCCTATTGCTAGCAATATACCCTGTCAGGTCGACCTCCTCACGGTAATTACGCTATTTTTTTTACAGCTTCTATAATTGCCTTTATTAAGATGCCTCAGAATGGCGTAGCTAGGTAATCAAAGGCCCTGGGCAAAAACTAAATTAGAGCCACAACAAAATTTTTTTATGCAACTTAGAATAGCAAATAAGCTGACGGCCCACCTTATGGAAAGTGGTAACCGTCGCCTATAGACATGAGCAGTACCATGGACAATGTTTAAAATCGTCCGTGCTCCGTCCGTCCGTCCGACCGTCTAGCTTTCTGGTAGCTACGCCATTTACTGGCAAAATTCCCTTTATGAGGAAGGCTTATGCCTTTAGTTTTGCCAGTTGTCCAATGCTGGACATAAGTCCAGCACTGGACAATAACATGTAGAAACATTGCTTAGTTACAACTTTATTATATTAGTAAGATAATTATTATTTTGCTTAAATTATTTATTATTTCAACCTTTAACTGTCCACTGCTGGACATAAGCCTTCCCCATAAAGGGAGTTTTGCCAGTAGTTGCCACGCTTGGCAGGCAGGTTGGCAAACGCAGTTAGGCTTTTAGATTTTTTAAGAGGGACGCTGCTGCCCATCCCTCGCCCTCCCTTAATCGTCTCTTACGACACCCACGGGAAAGGAAGGGGTGGCCCATTCTATGCCGGGGAACACACGACGCTTAAATTATGTTTAAGTATAATTTATACAATTTTACAGTGCGCAGTGCTGGATCCTCTGTACAAACGGACCGTCCGGTGTCCGCATAAACCAGCGCGTGCGATAATATCGCGGCTCGTCGACCGTGTAATTGAAATGGCTGCTACAAATCAAACGAGATAACGTTTATTTATTCCCGAGCTACCGGATAACAACATAAACGGCCTAGTATAATGATTGACAACGACGAAAATAAATAGAGATAAAAAATATAGATAGATAGACAGATACTCTTTATTGTTTCCTCCAAAAGATTACAATAGTAAACTTATTAAATGAATTTTAATTATTGTTATAAATTTAAATATTTTTTTTTATACCACGAAAGTGACAAATAGGCATACAGCCCGTCTGATTGTAAAATGTCACTGTAGCCTATAAACGCCTGCAACACCACCATCACACTACATTCACCAGAGGGAGACATTGTACGAAAGTCGTTTGCTTGGTTACCTCTGTCCCATTTATGTTTTAACCGTGAAGCAGTTGTTTACATGGCTGTGTTTCGGTTTGAAGGGTGGAATATGGCAGTGAATTTACTGGGTACAGAGGAATAACACCTGAGTACTCAGGAATGGCAATGCGTGGGGAGTATCATGGGCGAAAAGGTGGGCCGTCAGCTTGTTTGCCATTCTAAGTTGTATAAAAAAATATCCAACGCGGAAATGCCGCAAGTGTCATGGGGATTTTTGGGTCGGGTACGGATTAGGAATAGGACTGATCATTAATTATATATATATATATATATATATATATATATATATATATATATATATATATATATATATATATATATATATATAGATTATGTAAGTAAATATGTTCAATAAATTAATATTTTATAAGAAATAAATAAACTAATATTGTTATAGCACATGTTTACGCATTTAAAATGACAAACGATAGACAGTGACTAATAAAATATTACGACCGACTATTAGAAAAAAACGACCACCCATTTATAGATTCAATACGTTAAAGGAATTTTTAATGTTTACCAATCAGGCAACTCGGGGATTTCTCGTGAAAGGGGTGCGGTCAGTACGTGTTGACCTAGGTTATGGACATGACAAAATAGTTTTGTAACAACCCATATTATAGTGTATTGTAAAAAAATAAAATTAAAAACGTACATTAAAAAGAGACTAATTTTAATAAATAATTCGGCGTCTACTTGAAAGTCTAAAAGTAGCAATGAAATTTTGGAAAATGTCTGTATTGAACGCACCGCAGACGGGGCGCGGGGGGTGAGTAGGGTGCATAGGGGGCGTGCCCCGCCCCGGTCACTGACCCCACAGCTGACGCGACGCCATTCAGCACCGTAGTACGGTAATGTAGTAAAGCGTAGTGTGTAAACTTGGCATGTAATTATAGAAATTTAATCGTAACTCCATTATAAAAACTAATACTAGTAAAGAGGAAATATTAGAATTTTTGTTTGTTTGTTTATAATGTATATATATTTATGTTCAAGAGAACGGTCCATGCTCACTTTATGAATTTATTACAATAGTAGGAGCTAATCATTATCTTTTATATTTTATTTATTCATATATTAATTATATTTTATATATCTACTTATTTTTTTTTATAACAACTTAGAATGGCAAACAAGCTGACGGCCCACCTGATGGAAAGTGGTAACCGTCGCCTATAGACATGAGCAGTACCATGGACATAACAGAGTATACTGTTTCGCCCATGATACCCCCTATGCGTTGCCATTCCTGAGGACTTAGGTGTTATTCCTCCGTACCCTGTGAATTCACTGCAAGCATATGCCATAGGTATCCCACCCTTCAAACCGAAACTAAAAACACAACTGTTTCACGGTTGAAACACGAATAAAGCAGAGGTACCCAAGCAAACGATTTTTTTACAAAGTCTCCCTTTGGTAAACATTATCAGCGAATAACACTCTTATTAATACTATATTATAAATGTGAAAGTTATATATTGATTTGTTATCGGATGGAGAGGGATATAGGCTTCTTTTTAGCCCAGTAAGTAAACATATCCCGGTCACGTGGACGAAGTCGCTGTTAAAAGCTAATAGTATTAAACTGTGTTCTAAAATAAACCGACTTCAATTATGGCAACACCAGTTATTTTGATTTAAAAACTAAACTAGTGAAGCGATTTTGATAAAATGTCTATGGGACCAATCCATAAATAGAATCTTTCATCTATCTATCTATCCTATTTAAGAGCTGCGCTCTTGTCGGTGGAGCTCTTGCCACTCACTACGATATTCAGCGAGTCTCTTCACCTCTTGATACGACACGACACCAACTCCTTCCTTGATCTGCCTGATGTAACTATGTCTCGGTCTCCCTCTCCCCCTCCTTCCTTCTATCTTACCTTCCATTATAATGTTCATAAGTTCGTCGTGTCGTATCAAGTGTCCCAAATTTTAAATAAAAAAAAAAAGTAGACAGATAATATCGGTTCTATAATAAAATTGTAAATTTACGATATTTGTAAACGGAAGATATTAATAAAAAAAAAAAATGTAAATGGTTTTTATAGTAGTAAAAAAAGCGATAACAATATTTTTTTACCACAAAGGTGGCAAAAAAACATACAGTCTGATGGCAAACAATCTCTGTAGCCCACGGACGCCTGTAATACTAGGGGCGCGTACTGGACTGTTATTTGTTACGGAATCACGCAAAAATACTGCACCAAATTGAATGGAGTTTTCATTGTTATATCCCTGTAGGTCTATCTTAAAAAACTGCTGTCTGTCTTATATTGATACGCCATGTATAAGTGGTCTATTTTTTTTATATAACTTAGAATGGCAAACAAGCTGACGGTCCACCTGATGGAAACTGGTAACCGTCGCCTACAGACATGAGCAGTACCATGGACATAACAGAGTATACTGTTTCGCCTATGATACCCCCCATGCGTTGCCATTCCTGAAGGACTCAGGTGTTATTCCTCTGTACCCTGTAAATTAATTTATAATTTGCCATTCTAATTGTATAAAAAAAGACATTTTTTTTTAAATCAATATGATTTCCTTACTTTTATCCAATCTGACTTGTATCGACTTTTACTACGTTTTACCATGAATAACAAAGCGAACAACGAAGAAAAAAGCTACTTTGTATTTTTCCATTTTCTATTTTACTCCATGTACAAGTAAAAACTGCCAAAAATTATCCAAATTTCTCCAAGCTCATTTCATTTTCCTCCAACAAATTTATTTTTAAAAAAATTCCTAAACAGATTTTTTTCCCCAAATTAGCGAAAAAATACCTAATCTGGCAACATTGCACTGGACATTTCAGTATTTATAGCTCGAAGTGAAAACATCATTAGCACGTTTCAGGCTTACCTTGCTGAAGTAACCGACGATATGGCATCCCTCGTTGTCGGCACACGTCATCACGTAAAAGAGAAATGGCTCCACATCGTAGTATAACGTCTTGTGATCGAGGAAGAACTTGGCAAGGAGACACAAGTGCTGGCAATACTGCTTGTGCTTCCGGCCGTCAACTTGCCATACGCTTAAATTGTCTTTTCTATACACCTGGTAATAAAAAGTTTTAGACATTAATATTTTTTTCTCAAACATGCTTGGAAATGTGAGCATTATTTTGACAATCATCTTAGAGATAAATCAAAATTGCCGTACTGGCCAGATACATGCGGGCAGCGGCCGGCAAAAGTTGTATGAAAATCCATATCTGTCGTGTTTTGCGGCCAGATAAATTACTATGTAAACTCATATCTGTCCTGTAATTTAAAAATGGAATGACCTTTTACTTCGAAACACGGCTACCAAGGAGGTAACTAATAAAAGGTTTTATTTAAATTTCGAACTGGCTTGCAAATAGAAAGCTGTTTATTGAAAAAAAAAAAACAAAGGAACATTATGGCGTGTGAAAAATTATTATTGTTCGTTATTCGTCATTGAACTTAAAAAGTAAAAATGTGTTTTTGATTTCCGCGCATTGTTTGAAAAAGTACTATACAAGCCTTGGCCACAACTAGGCATTGATGGACTCACGTATGTGTGCGTCCATCGATTATGTACATTAATGCATTTAAATATATTAGGCATAGTAATAAGGATGCCGATCCGATATTTAAATATTGGGTTTCTCTGGATATTGATGGTAGAAAAAGGTCACATTTGCACGTTCGTCTACATCAATTTTATTATTTTTTGCAACAAATTATAATATGCGGGATTGCCATTGTAAATGAAAAAAGCATTGTAAATGACGAATAGGGTACAGTGGATATTTTTTATGGGTGATAATGGAATGGTAACTCCGCCTGCGTATATATTAGATGAGAATGAAAATAGTGCATCATGATGGGTGGTAGTTTCCAGGGAAACTGCGAGGATGGTGGGTGATGAACAGTGGGTGATGATTAGTGGTATATATTGGGTGGTGCATAGTGGGTGGTGTATGGTGGGTGATGAACAGTGAGCGGTATATATTGGGTGGTGCATAGTGGGTGGTGTATGGGTGATGCGTATGGTGGGTGATGAATAGTGAGCGGTATATATTGGGTGATGCGTAGTGGGTGATGTATGGTGGACAGTGGTACCTCGTCGCCGGGCGGGTGCCGCCAGACGCACTTGGCGCGGTGGCGCGCGGCGCCGGCGGCGCAGCGCTGGTGTCCGAGGCAGTACTCGCACACGAACAGCCGCGGCACGCGCGCCGCCTCGCCCGGGTACGGCGACTGGTACCACACCTCCATCGTGTACTTGCCCATCACCACGTACCTGCCGCCACACGAGTACACCCTAACCTTAGATTATTTTTTTATAGAAACAGAACACGCCCTTTCAGGAAAAGGTTGTTGTTGTTGCAAGTAATTAGATTACAAATTTTCCGAACCAAATTTTTTTTTTAAATTCAATTGGAAACTTCTGATATTTAAATGTACATATTTATGTATTAGTGACAAATTAATATACATGTATTAATTTAATGGCGGTTATTTTCATTTATTTAAAAACGAAAGCATATTGTAAGTCTACAATTTGATATAAATCACTGTAATCAATAAGTCTAAGCATCAATATGAATCGTTATAAACTGCATATCCTTTGTTTTATTTATTTTTTTATTTTCTTCGTCTTTCAACTATACTCGTGTTTTGTATCGTTTTTATTTTTCGACTTACCCTTACAATATAATTTCTCCCATATACTGAATAATAAATTTATATTATGGTAACCCTATTTCCACGCACAGATAAAAAGTAGAGCTGTTTTTGGTGAAGCACTTGTATGTATAATCTAGGTAGACACAAAAAATTGTTAAATATTAGAAATTGTGTTTATAACATCAGTTAAAATTAACAATATTAAACTGGATGTCACATTAAGTACTGCCTATCAACCAAACCCCCTGTGGCGGGTGAAAAAAAGATTGTTAGCAAAGGGATCTAACAGCCCCATTGCTAGCAATATATCCTATTAGGTCGATCTCTAAATGGCTCTCCCTGGAAACTTTCGTGATTAATTTTTATAGATATTGTCACAGTAGATTAACTGACTTGCTTTCATCCTCACCTATCATACCTCCCTGGTGCCCTGGTAGCGTAAATCGATAGCGTAGGCAGGATTACCATTCCATTATATCACTCATTAAAGTAATTTATCAAGAATTAACCACAATTGTCTCCAGGGGACCATGTGGAAGTCGATTGATTACATGCCTAATCCAAAAATACTATTTAATTTTATTTTTTTATACGACTTAGAATGGCAAACAAGCTGACGGCCTACCTGCTGGAATGTGGTAACCGTCGCCTATAGATATGAGCAGTACCATGGACATAACAGTACACACACACATACTGTTTCGTCCATAATACCACCTATGCGTTGCCATTCCTGAGGGCTTAGGTGTTATTCCTCTGTACCATGTAAATTCACGCCATATCCCATCCTTCAAACCGAAACACAGTCATGTAAACACAACTGCTTCACGGTAGAAACACGAATGGGACAGAGGTACCCAAGCAATCGACTTTTGTACAAAGTCTCCCTCTGGTAAATTTACAAATTGCTCAACTAAACCTTTATAATGTATATTAAAGTTTTGTACTTCACAAATACCTAGTCCCTCTATCGGAAGGCATATCGCCCAATTCTTCTTCAATTTTAATAGCAGCTAACGCCTGGGCTTCTCGGAATAATCTGAGGTCATAGTCAGGCGCGAAACCCTCTAGTATGGGCTCGCGCTCCTCGCCGGTCTCTTCGTTGCCAGCGGCAGCTAATTTCTCGCGAAGTTCCTGACTGCCTTTCCATTTTGACCGCATATCCTGGAACAATGATTACAATGTTAACAAGAATACTAAACTATGTGTGAGCACGGTTAATAGATGATAATGGAATGGTAACCCCGTCTGCGCTAACAGTATACGCTGGCGGAGCACCAGTGAGGGATTATAGGTGAAAATGAAAAGGCAGGTCAGTTAGCCCATCGTGATAAATACACCTGGGATTCAGCACGATGGTTTCCAGGGGAGACCATGTGGAGGTCGACTTGTCTGGGTATATTACTAGCAATGAGACTGGTAGTTCGCATTACTAACAATCCCTTCCTTTTGAGCCTAGTTAATGATAAACAGTCATTGTGAAAATCAAACCAGTGGCGGACTAACAGAGGGACAAAACTGGGCGGCTCGCTTCGACCTTCTGGTCCTGGGGACCTCCAAACGCCTCCATTTACCTCATCTATATTCTATGTCAGTTTATTTAAGTATAAATTTCAATTGAAACATTTTAACTAAATAAATACAAACATTTATACATACAAATGTCAACTGAAGAAACAGCTTACGAAATTATATCAACTTCTTAACTGGGAGCCTTACATAGCTTTGTCAATCAGAGTCTCTGATGAGCTTAGATGGAGAGCATTCGTTCAGACATCCCGTTCTTACTATTTGATACGGCTGGCGGGTTGCCTGCTATATTGGCCACATTGTGTATATATATTTGAGGGTACAGTTAGCATATAGTGATGTTTTTTTTTATGGATGATAATGGAATGGTAATTCCACCCACGCTATCGGTATACGCTGGCGGGGCATCAGTGATAGAGGATAAGTGAGGACAAAAGCCGATCAGTTGGCCCTTTGTAACAAATTCCACAAGAATAAACCACAATAGTTTCCAGAGGGCAAACACAGAAAGGTCGATCTGATAGGGTGGGTATATTGCTAGCAATGGGGCTATTAGACACCATTACTAACAATCCCTTTCCCCCAGCTTATTCTGTTTAACTAGCGTAGAAGAGCTTACTTTAAACTTGAGTTATCAAACATGCATATTTATAGGTGGCAATTACTATTTACTATCAGGTCAGCTGTCAATTTGTTTTTCATTCTTTGTATCATAAAAGGAAAAATTAGTGCACAGAAGCTCACCTTGACCTTGAGCTGGTAAGCGCGCTGGTCGATGGTGGGCATGGCCCGCTGCCGCTGCTGCAGCAGGGCGGCGGCGCGGCGCCGCGCGGACGCAGCAGCGGCCCGCTCCTCGCTGGCCGCGATGCACCAGGCCGGCGTCACGTTGTGGTACAGGGGACACGCGTCCCATGTGAAGTGTTTCTCCGCTATACCACCTAGATGCCCGCTCGAGTCGCAGCCGCTAACAGGGCAGCGTCGCTCGGTGGGCTGTGACGTTCCCGCGATACTAGGCAACAGAGGCCGAGCGAGCCGCGGGGGAGTCGACCGCACCCCACGACCTTTCTGAGGCTTCTTTGTTTCTCTGCTGTAAACATACAATTTTTATATTTATAGAGAGTGGTTGCTAATTTATGATTGTCGCATCTGAAGTGACATGTTAAATTTGAATTTAAATATAATACATTGTCAAGTGTGGAAACAAATTGATAGTCGAGCGAGATTGGAAGGATGAGAGATGAAGAGATATGTCTATTATTTACTAGATCATTATGAACATATATCATCATATCGGCCTTTCATTGTCCACTGCTGAACATAAGCCTCCCCTTAGTGGGTTTTGCAAGTAGTTGCCACAATTGGTTGGCAGATTGGCAACCGCAGTTAGGCTTTGAAGATGTTTTAAGAGGGACACTACTACCCATTCCTCGCCCTCCCTTAGTCGTCTCTTACGACACCCACGGGAAAGGAAGGGGTGGCCATTACATTAGCGAGTACATTACAAGATTTTTGTCATTTGCAAGTATGAGTTGGAAATTAGTATATTATGTTCATCTATTATTTATTTATTATTATTCTTGTTTTTTTACGCAACTTAGAATGGTAAACAAGCAGCCGGCTCAGTGCTAGCCGTTGCCCGACATCACTGTGATACATTTTCACATTTATATATATTATTTATAATATACCATTCAGCCGTTAACTGTCCACTGCTGAACATAAGTCATCCCCATAATGGGAGCTTTGCTAGTAGTTGCCACGTTTGGCAGGCGGGTTGGCAACCACAGTTAGACTTTTAGAGATATTTTAAAAAGGACGCTGCTGTCTATCTCTCTACATATAAATGTAATGTAATTCCATGTAAATGGAAGAGAAATGTGTTGTTCAATAAATTACCTTTTATCATTACTCTTCTCATCTGCATCCGAATCAGTGTCAGTGTGCGTGGGTCTCGATACAGTAGCGAGTCTGGACACCCGTGCGGACAGCGACCGGGTTAGTTTTCGGGGCAACGTGATCGTTGCAGATTCACCTGAGTCGCCGCTTTTAGCGGCTGTGTCTTGCTAGATACATAAAAAAAGATGTTATGCCTATAAAAAATATTTAACGATTAAAAAGTTAGTTATTTGTTAGGGTTTGAATTTTTGAAATTAGAATACCTCTACTTTAGAGTCCGATTAGGTATATTTTTTTTATACCACTGAGGTGGCAAACAAGCATACGGTCCACCTGATGGTAAGTGGTTACCGTAGCCTATGAACACCTGCAATACCAGAGGCATTACGCGTGCGTTGCCGACCCTGAAGAAACCTCTTTACCCCCCCCCCCCCCCCCCCCTTTTGAAGAACCCCATGCTGTAGCCTCTTGGGAAAACCTACATATGTTTCAATTTAAAATATTTAATAGCAATCGCATTATACATATATATTACATTGTAAAAAGAAATAAGAAAGGTAATATGCATACCTATTTAATGTAAAGCAAATTTTAAATTTTACTCTACATAGCAGAACTTTGTTGTATCTGTTATTCATTTATTAACTCTTTATTGCCTCACTTAAAGGATAATACAAAAGAAAAATAATAAACTTATAAAGTTAAAAAATAAAAGTTTGTAATTTGCTAGTTAGATCTTTTATCATCACACATTTCAAAAATATTGTTTCATAAATGTAATAACAGTCATGGTAATTAATTTATAGTAAATAGTAGTTTTAGTAGAAAATAAAATAATAAATCCTCATCATATCAGCCATTAACCATTCAAAGCATAAAAAAGGTGTATGGCCTTATCCATAGATTGCCATAAGGAACAGTCCCGAGTCATCTGCATTCACAGACTTCCTGCAATGCATTTGGGGTCCTCATTCCATCTAATGGAGAGTCGTCAGATACTGTTTGCATGTATGGGGTCACCACTTAATAACATTTATTTAAAATTAAAAAGCAGCTGTAAATATAATTATAATAAAATACTAACTTTATTAGTGCTGCTAGGTGGTTTTGTTTTTCCAGTCTTTGTGGGCTCTTTTTTAGGAGTCGGTTCACTGTTGCTATCTGAAGACACAGACTCCACTGATGATTGACTTGAAGAGCAGGAGGATGTGCTCTTCTCTTCCACCTTCTTTGGCGGGGCCTCGTTTGACCGATTACTATTCCTAGTTTTTACACTATCTTTTGAATTTGAATCTTCATTTTCTGCTGCGGTCAATGGTGAAGAATCCTTTTCGTCTACAGACTTCCTGGAGCTGTGCTTAGATGCCGGTGAGTCTTTGGCACTCTTTGACGACTTACTGTCCGATTCGGACTCGGAACTATTATCTGGTGAGAATATACTTTTCTTTTTTACTGTGGTATCTGATTTTGACGATTTTGATGTCGATCTAGATGCTGGTTTAGATGTCTTTGCCCCAGCGGATACTCTAGATGCGGACTTGCCTTTAGCAAGAACCAAAGCTGCCGATTTTAATTTTGTTGAGCGTCTTCTTGGTGGTAAGGACTTTGGGCTGCTTGTTTTCGGTGCTTCATCATCACTTGATGACGAGACATTAGCTTTTGAAGGCCGTCTTTGTTTGGGTTCCTCCTTCTTTTTAGTTTCTTCCGAGGGTGGTGTGGCTGGTGATTTCGGTGCTGTTGTAGTGGTCGCCGCTGGAGTGCCAGAGGTGGATGAATCAGAATCTGAGCTCGATGAGTCCGAATCTGAGCTTGTAGATGAGCTGAGGCTGCTGCTCGAGTCTGATGAAGACTCAGAACTACTGTCTGTACTGCTATTACTCACCTGAAATCATAATAATATAACATAATTAGACACTTATCATATTTATGTAATTATATTAAGATGAACAAGAATTTTAAAGTAATTATCAATGTTATTGTTTTGAAAAGTAAATATAACTGCTTAAATTACTCTTCTCCATCCATACATTGCCTGGAAGAGATCACTCTTAGTGATAAGGCCACCCATTTCTTAGTGTGATATTTTCTTATAATTATTTGTAGTTATAATAAGTCTGCTATTGTAATTTATTATAAGTTAATTTACTAGTTGTTCAACCACACTCAGTGTTTGCTGTTTTATATGGAATTGAGTTGAAAAAAAAAAACTAAACTCGACATATTTATTATAATCTTTATTTCAATTTGTAGATATTCAGAACTTCATTTGTATTAAATTAAATATTGTTCTCTACCAATTTTTTTATAAAATATTTCTGATGGTTTTATAACATTATATTTAACTAGATATATATGTTTACGGTGTAATTATGTGAAGAATGTGGCATTCAGATTTTTTTTTATTTATGTTACATGCAGGAACAGCACATTCAAACCAACTACATTTTTCTAAAATTAAATACACTGTAAAACTAAAAAAAAATATTTTGCTAACACTCCCGCAAATCAGCTGCAAGCTTATATTAGGTTGGTAAAGTCTTATTTTTCTATCTCACTCGGATATATATGTTATTATATTTTTATCTATTTTCCATCGGCAATCATAAACATTATATTCTAAGGAATTAACACATAGAATACTTTTTAATTGGTTCAATATTCACGATTTGTAGCACTTGTAGATAGTATTGAGAAAACATAATCAACATTGATTGATATACATTTTTACGTTACTGCTCACCCCGATTAGACATATGGCGAAATGGGCAAATAAAATGATGCGTTGTTTCACTTTTAAATTTCAAAAAGAACGATGAAGATCAAAAGTAACACAACTAAGGTGTAGTTGGTTAAAAACGTAAACTCACATCCAAATATGTCATTATGCTGAATTATTACAACTGTTTGTGCTGCGATCAAAGATGTGGCTTTTATTTTCAAAGATTTTAATTTAACTGACACGTAACGATTTCATTTATACGATTTAATTAAGATTTAATAACATAAAACAACAATTTAATAACACCACGCAAAAAACAAACCCCAAAAGACAACACTGACAGTGACACAAACAAACATAACAGCAGGCACGCACTATTTGCAATGACAATTATATGAAAACTGTGTAATCAGTTTCCTAAATGAAAAAAATACTCTATAAAGTAGCAATATATTTTAATATGTCTATTAATGTAAATAGTTACGCATTAATATGGATATTCATTTAGTTTACTGTGTTGCAAATTCTGGGTTGTTAGTAGTAACATAGTTTTTTCCAGTTTTGTCAATCTATAGCTAATGGCGACTCTAAATAATGCAGAATTAAGCTTCAATCTGACTTTGATTTTTATACAATGATATAACATTACGCTGCATTTACTAGATCCCACAGAGCAACTATTCACTACGTTATAAGAGTTGGCACTGATCTTCTCAACGAAATTTGAAGAAAAAGTTATAACACATTTTTTTTTTATACAACTTAGAATGGCAAACAAGCTGACGGCCCACCTGATGGAAAGTGGTAACCGTCGCCTATAGACATGAGCAGTACCATGGACATAACAGAGTATACTGTTTCGCCCATGATACCCCCCATGCGTTGCCATTCCTGAGGACTCAGGTGTTATTCCTCTGTACCCAGTAAATTCACGCCATATCCCACCCTTCAAACCGAAACACAGCCATGCAAACACAACTGCTTCACGGTTGAAACACGAATGAGACAGAGGTACCTACGCAATCGACTTTCGTACAAAGTCTCCCTCTAGTAAAACACATGTTACCTTTTTAAAGTAACAACACAATAACAATTTAAAAAAAGTATAATGAATTAATATCCATAATGTTATACTATCAATATCGATGGTTGCCATAAAAAAACCTAATTATTCCTTTTTTTCCTAACTTTACAAAAAATTTAAACAATGAAACAAGTGCGTTGTTATTTAGTTACATTATTTTTATCTACTATAATTTAAAATTTCATTTTTATGACAGATGAATAATGCAATTTTTTTTAGTATATTAAACAAAAGTTGAAAATATAATACCGAGTCGAATAACTTCTAAAAAAAAGTATGAATGAATTAATGAGAATTTAAAGAATGATATAGATTATAAAGATTAACAATACGTACACAAACAAAATGAATACTCAATTACAAAAAAGCAAAATAAAGAGACAACAATGTGCAGTGTTATTGCAAAATAGGGATTTCTTAGAAATAAACTTAGGATGGCGAGGAATAATTAAGATTATGTTTAGCCAAGGAATAACAGAAAAATAATAAGACTAAAAAAGGAACAAATAAACACAAATAAATAATTTATACCTATATATGAATATGACTATATAAACCTACATAAAGACACATGTGTATTCAATTCTAAAGAATATATACACACTGTATTATATGCATATAAGAGAAATAACCCTATTTGTAGTTATCATATTATTACAATTACATATAATACGAATAAAGTTATTATTATTTCAAAAGGTGACATTTTAATTTATAGTACAAATATAGCAAATTAATTATACGAACAAAATATTTAGTACTATTTATCTTCTTAATATATTGTTACTTATATTTCAATTTCACTTCGATATATATCAGTACATCGATATATAGTAGGAACCATGGTGGGAACACCACTAATAGATTTTACAAGTTCAGCAAAGGTTGTTAAAATTATTAACTCTGCTCCTATATGAACAAATAAATAAATTAGAGAATATAGGTAAACTTTAATTGTATTTAACTATAATAATTATAATTATTGTAAACTCACTGAAAATAAATATTGAAAATTGAATTAAAAACGTCGTTCTTCTGCATACTTACCATACTGAATACAAATTTATTTATTACGTAATTTGCCAAAACACATATTCGTTATTTAAAAAAAAATATATAAGTGAAGGTCTGTTGAAATGGCGTCATAACTTTGAAGATAATCCGCCATGAGGGAGTTTTTTTTTTTTACAGATTGGTAACACAGATTATAGAAAAATGTCATTCCATAAAAGATGTTCCAACTGTAGCAGGCCTGAAATATGTCTGATTTTGTGAATGTACAATGTTTGATTTGCGAGTATGTCATATGTCAATGTTTGACTTTGACATATTTGGTTTGGTATTAATTTTCAGAATTATGAAAGTTATTTAAAGGAGACTAAATAAAAATGGATTATAATTCCTTAAGGAAAATTTCGAAAGTTAGATCAATATTTACATCCTATTGTCGTTTTTACTCTGCTCAACAACTGAAAAAAAAGTTACCTATAATATCTTGTAAACGTCCGGAATTTAACCATTTCGAAGGCCAAACATATAGCAAGTTTGAAGGCGTGAAACTTGCCTCCCAGGGCTGGTTACATCGTAAATCTAAAGGCGATTACTTTATAATCCATGGAAATGCTAACAAAAAAGAAGTAGAAAATGTTTATAAAAAGAGTTTTGAAGAAATCGGCGTAAAAGATGACTTGATACAGGTTATGTCTGATCAAGGTATAACTTTGCCGACTGCTATTCAAGCGAAGGCAATACCCTCTATTTTAAACGGTCATAATACTGTTGTGACTGCTGAAACTGGTTGCGGTAAGACGTTGGCATATTTGTTGCCCATTTTTCAACACATTTTGGAATGGAAACAGCATATTCCAGAGGAGTTCAATAGTCCGTTGGCTGTTGTGATTACACCCAGTAGAGAACTTGGTGAGTTTTTAGATCAAATATTTTAAAATTATGAAGTAGTAATGTTAATATAGTAGATTTTTTATTTGATAAACTGACATCCCGTCAATAATTAACTATGATGGTTTCAAAGGAACCATGTGGAAGTCAACTTGGTAGAGTTTATGGCTAGCAATGGTGCAGTTATTTATAATCTCTTTCCTCCCCTAATACTTTTGATTACACCATTATGATTGTAAATGTCAATTGGACTCTTTTTCTGCACTAAGCCTCTAATTTGGGCTGTAGTGCATCTGTGATGTGGCTGTTATAGTCGGCCAAACTCCACCCATAAGCATAGAAGCTTCCTAGGATCTTCAGAGTCCTCACGGAGTGACTTCATTGTTTCAAGGATTTCTGAATGTTGGGTGACCACTACTACACATTTTAGGGTTACATGTCAGTACTCCATCTAGGCCTGTAGCTTTGAATGCTAGAAAGGTGCTGATTGCATGTTCTCGATGATGACTCTTTGTTAATTCACAGTCCAAGCTGCTGGTTTCTCTTTCTTTGTATGGTTCCCATAACTATAAAACTTAAAAAGTGAGAGGTTATTAGCAATTCGGTTGTTTCACATTCTCCATGTAGTTATTATCAGGTTTCTTGAGGCAACCTATTATATGATCTTTCTTCTTTGCGAGACATGATCACGGTAAAACATTGATCGCCTGGCTGTTGTTTTCTATATTTGTATAGAAATAACTGCAGCATTCTTGCTTTCTGTGGCGTATTTGTTTTTTGGTGGTTGTGTACATATCCCAGTCTTCTTGTGTTTGTTTGTTCATAGCTATATTAAATAATTTCCTTGATTTCTAATGATACCTTTCTAATTTCGGACACCACCAGTGTTGTCTCACTCGATACCATGGTGTAGTTAGGGCATAGAACTGTCCATATCTGGAGGTTAAGAAAGACTTTATGTGGTTTGTAAGTTGTCCAGATCTGTTACTGCTAAATCATTTAATAGTGGCAGTTGGTTATCAATTTTTTTTCTGATCATTTATGTTGGTTAGTCCTTTGAGTTATGCCCATTAGAATTATATATAGACATAACCATTTTAATTATTTATGACCAAATTAATAATTATGTTGTTTAACAAAATCAATAATTCCACAGCTAATCAAATAACTGAAGTAGCACAGTCTATAGCTGAGCAATTAAATGTGAATGTCACTGGGCTCATTGGAGGACGCACCAAGCAGAAGATGCTGGACCCTCCGATAGAGTATTGTGATATGCTCATCACAACGCTAGGAGCCTACAGCAAACTGGTTACAACTGGCATCTACAAGGTGCATAATGTACATCATGTGGTTTTGGATGAAGCTGACACATTATTGGATGACAGTTTTATTGGAAAGTTATCGAATCTGCTGAAGAAATTTTCTGTGAGTACTTTTTATGATATATTGATAAATATCTTTAATCAACTTAAGAACTTGAATATGTGATCATCATCATCATCATTTCAGTTCCGTCCACTGTTGAACATAGGACTCCCCCATAGACTGCCATAAGGAACAGTTCTGAGCCACCTGCATCCACAGACTCCTTGCAATGCATTTGACGTCGTTACTCCATCTAGGGGTTGTTCTATTCTGTATTTGCTAGTATGGGGTCGCCAATCAAGAACCTTTCCTTCTCTGACAAACAAACAACTGACAAACAATCAGTTCTTCAAGCTATGTGACCAGCCCATCACCACTTCAGCTTGCTTATTCTTCTATATAGATGAATGAATGAATGAGTATACTTTATTTGCATTATACAATATAGGAAATAAGCAAGACAATTTACAAACACAACGATACAATTGTATAAGTACAGTAAGGTGGTAATAGATAAATTTATCCCTTAAAGGGATTTCTTCCCCTCAACCTTGAGAACCTTTGTTTTCAGTTTAAAATATTTACAATGACTTCTTTAAGTTTTTTTTAATGAATCCTTTTAATTTTTTTACTTTGTTCTTTCAGATTCAATACAAAGTGGAAATAACTACACCGCCACATGGGTGTCAGGTGACCCTCGTTAGTGCCACGATGCCACATGAGCTACCTGAGAGTGTCAGCTCATTTGTATCTCCTGACTCGCTGAAGACTGTTACCACTTCCAACATCCACAGAATAATGCCTCATGTACCCCAAAAGTAAGCAAATTGATTTGTAACATTAATAAACGCCACACAACGAGTTACAATTGACCCATCCAATAATTGAACCGGAAACCTTTTTACGCAAAACTACACACTTACCACAGTCTTGAGGGGAAAGGCTTGATAGTAATGGAGTCTAGTGATCTCATTAGGTCAACCTCCACGCATTTCCCAAAAGAGATCATCATTTCCTATTCTTCTTTATTCCTGCTTCATTATCATATATTTCAATTCAAAGTTCTTGCATAAAATTTATATTGAAAAAAGTTTATAAGATTGATAGAACGACCTTTGGTATTTTCGGGATTGTTATCAACAAATTAATAAGGTTTTGTAATATCTCGCCCGCATTTGGGTATCCTGTAGTCTAGCCTTATTGCGATGATATTAGCCATTTACTGATCACCGCTGACCATAGCCCACCCCCCTGGGGAATTTTGCCAGTAGTTGTCACGCTGGGCAGGTGGATTGGCAACAGCAGTTCGATTTTGGTAATGTGTTAAGAGGGACGCTGCTGCCTGCTCCTCGAACATTAATGCATACACACACACTTGCAATTCCACTTGTGCTCACGGGCGGCGGTAGTCACTTACCATCAGGTGATCCACATGCTCGTTTGCCCCCTGTGTTATAAAATAAAGTTCCCTTAGTCGCCTCCAACAACACCCACGGGAAAAGGTGGTCCATTGTATGTCAGGTCCACATGGTAAATTAAAAATCTTATTGCAATATGTTTTCAGATTTCTCCGGCTAGGCAAAGCGCAAAAACCAGGTGAACTATTGAAACTAGTCCAAGCAGATGTGAACCAAAATCGTCCTGTGATGGTATTCTCCAACCAGACGTCCACATGTGATTTTGTTTCCATGTTTCTCAACGAGAACAACATTGAGTGCATCAATATAAATGGACAGATGGCGGTGCCATTGAAATTGGGGAAGTTTGATATGTTTAGAAGTGGGAAAGTTAATGTCCTATCATGCACCGATATTGCTTCTCGAGGTTTGGATACATTACGGGTGAGTATAGTGTAGACTAATAAATTACAGACTTGGCATACAGTAAAGACTATCTCCCTTATTCATAAAAACATCAAATCTCTCAAATTTATGAAATGCTATTGAACTGTTTTAACTCTTTCTTTTGTTTTCCTATCTCGAAAGAAAGTGACAAAAAAGTGTAATATTTAAAATAGACTTATACAAGATTTTAGTTTTTATGAATAAGCATATATAAGTATATAAATCATGTTCTAATTTTTTTTTTTTTTTATACAACTCAGAATGGCAAACAAACTGACGACCCACCTGATGTAAAGTGGTAACCGTCGCCTATAGACATGAGCAGTATGGATACAACAGAGTATACTGTTTCGCCCATGATACCCACCATGCGTTGCCATTCCTGAGGACTCAGGTGTTATTTCTCTGTACCCAGTAAATTCACGCCATATTCCATTCTTTAAACCGAAACACAGCCATGCAAACACAACTGCTTCACGGTTGAAACACGAATGGGACAAAGTCTCTCCCTCTGGTAAAATGATTTTTTATAAATAAATATTTAGCAAAAAAATAATAAAATGAAATGTAAACATTTTATGTAATATCATATAATCTGTAGAAAAGTTAACGTTCTTTGGTGGTATATTCTACCAGCAAAACTAAATATTTTTATAAAATAATTAAGGTTGGAACAATAATAAAAAATTTTGCCTCTCATATTAATTTGTAGTTTTTTAATTTGCTATAAATAAATAAATAATTTAATTAAATAATAATATTTTTTTTACAGACCCAACATATAATCAACTATGATTTTCCCCTCTACACCGCTGATTACATCCATCGATGCGGACGAACTGGCAGGATTGGCTCACCAGAGAACTGTACTGTTACAAATTTCATAGCCTGGCCGAGGGAAATACAGATGGTGCAGAAAATTGAAACGGCCGTGAGGAAGCATAGCGAGCTGCCAAACGTGAACGCTAATATTAAGAGGCTCATTGACGATAGAATAGCGAGGATGGTGGACAGGGGGATAGTGAGTAGTGTGGCCTAAGTGTACGATATTGGCCTATTTAAGATTATTCTCCAGGGGAGAGACCTTTATAAAAGGTTCATATTTGTCGATTGTCTATGATAACATGGCACGTCCCTCCAAAATTTAAATAATTTAAAATGTGCAAGTAAAAATAATTATAAGGTTTCGACCAAGGAATATAATACTCTGGTTGGACCCCTACTGAAGACGTTTCCTCACAAACACAGTACCACGTCTGTATATAGTCACTTATATTAAAGTAAAAGGTTGAACTTACGTGCTATGTCAATGTAGACTATCTTTATATACTTTCAAATATTTTCGAATATCTGTAAGCTCCGTTCGTAGCCTGGGGTGGGCATCAGACAACCTGAGGTGGGCACGGTCCACCCAGTCCCCTTTTATGTACGTCTAAACTGGGACGTGGTATGTCCATATGAGGTGAAAACGTGAATATTAGTAGGCATGATGAAGTCTAACCTTATTCATAAAAAAAATAATCATCTTTTAAACTTATTTTATAGTCCGTACGTTATAGTATGGTGCAATTGAAATTGTGCTGCCATTATTTTTTTTTTATTTATTTCTCATTGCATTACATAATGTAGTTAGTAGATAGTATTCTAGTAGTTTTATTGAATAACAAAACCGTAACGAAGTTTTTGGAATCTTAATTAATGATTTTTTTACGATCTGGAAGGTCTGTAACAAAGTCTTATCGGACTCCGAAATACGAAGCAAGTCACAATAATTTTTTTAATGATTTTTTTAATTAATTTTGCAGTGATTTTTTTTTTACAACAGGGGGCAAACGAGCATGCGGCTTACCTGATGGTAAGTGACTACCGCCGCCCATGGTCGTTGATGGAGGAATCAATTTAGCGATTTGTAATCTCTCTCATGCTATAACGGACGGAGTTGTAGCTACTAAAATGTTCTGTCTTTTTTATTTGAAATAAATTTAGAGGGAGACTTTGTACGAAAGTCGTCTGCTTGCGTACCTCTGTTCCATTCGTGTTTCTATTCTGAAGCAGTTGTGTTTGCATGGCTGTGTTTCGGTTTGAAGGGTAGGATTAGGCAGTGATTTTACAGGGCACAGAGGAATAACACCTTAGTCGTCAGGAATGGCAATGCATGGGGTGCATCATAGACAAAAGAGTATATTCTGTTATGTCCATGGTACTGCTCATGTCTATAAGTGACGGTTACCACTTTTCATCAGGTGGACCGTCAGCTTGTTTGCCAGTTTGCCATTCTAGTTGAATAAAATAAATGAATAAAAAATGATAAAACATTATAATAGTTAAAGTAGGTTTGTAAATGATTTTAGTTTTTATGAATAAGCCTCATGATCGGTTATTATTATGTAAATCAGTAAACGTCAGAAAATTTATATTGTAAATAAAATAAATATAAATATAATACTTATGAAAGAGTGAAAATAAATTTTTACAAACACATTTTGTTTCATTTCTCAATGTGTTTACGTTTAAGGTGTCATTATATAATGGCGAACTAACAGTGATGGTTGGCTGTGTGCTCCCGGCGTAGAATAGACTATCTCTTTCTTTTCCGTGGGTGTCATAAGATGCGACTAAAGAAACAATGGTAGAGGGATTTTCTTTTTGATGGTTGAAAATGGTATGTTGAAACCAAAATGGAGTATATTTATATCAAATTAAAAAATTTGGTATAAATACACTACTGGGGATGGAGAAGGACATAGGGCATTTTTATCCAGGGCTCGTGAATGAAGTCGGATGTAAAATCTAATATAAAATAATTAGAAAAGTGTAAAGAGGTAATTAAAAAACATGAGTAATTAATTAATAAATTTAATTGCATATTTCACACAGAAGAAAATCTAAAGGAATCTGATTAGTTTAAGAACTCCTTTTTATACATATAAAATTTGAACACTTCTCTAGGACCGCTCTTAAAATATAAGGGCAAGTATACGCTAGAATATAATTTTTTTTCTAAAAATAAAGTGCCCTCTATGCCCCAGTGTAGGCACAGTATAGTGACACTTACATAGTGATAATATACTAATATAATACTACGATATTGCTTGATAAAGTCAATATTGTATATTTTATAGAGCGTATAGTGATTCCACACCTATTATGTTTAATATAATTATGGCCTAATATTTTTTATATAAGTTCGTTAAATTAAACACCTTCACTATGTGATAAATAGTATTATTTTTTTTATTTATTTATATTATAACAGGCAAATTTATTTTTTTAGGTATTTATACCTTTTTTTTCATATCTATTATATCTATTATACATAATTATAATTGCCAATTGTTCGCAATATCATGGTTTAAAAATATAGAAAAGAAGCGTTGTAAAAATTCAATTATTCTGTAATAAATTCTAATAGAAATATGTTGAATATGTAAAAATGATATTTAAAGTATACAAAATTAACCTTTTTCAACCGACTTTAAAGAGAAAGAGGTTCTCAATTGGGTTGGATTTTTTTTATGTTTGTTATGTCATAACTCTAGTCAGTTGTAAACCGATTTGGAAAATCCTTTTTTTTATCTGAAAATATATACTTACAGACTGGTCCCATAGGTAGAATAATATCGAAATCGGTACAGTAGTCTAATTTTTCGATCAAAATAACTGATTTTGTCACGATTGAAGTAGATTTTTTTGTGGGACACAATTTTTAATCAGGGCACAAGCAATATCATAAAAATATTACTTTAACAGGTAGAAAACTTCTTCAAAAGGAATGCTATTTTTTTTTTATAATTGCTAAGGATTTAAAATTCAATCTGTATGTGGGCCCTTTTGATAAAAAATGTTTTTTTTTTAACAAATTAATAGTCGACGAAAAAAATTTTTTTTACACGTAATATGATTTTACATGAACTTACTAATATTATTTTAGATTAAACATTATATTTAACAAAACTATTGCACATTCATGTATACTTAACCATAAGAATAGTAAATCTCATTACGACTTATTTTAGAAATATAATATTAACACAGTTTGGCACACCTTAGATATTCTATTTACCTATAATACTAATTAAATGCTATTAAGCTTCATTTTTTTTTTATTTAATTGCCAGTAAAATAGATTTTATACGAAATTAAAGAAATTTTTATAATAAGAGAGAAAAAGGAATTCTAATAATTAGAATAAGAACTATATGTAGTTTATGATTTTTAATCGACTTTAAAAAGAAAAGTAAAGATTTATTTTCCGGAAATTATGTAACATAATTATCATCATCATCATCATCATATCAGCCGTTCATCATGGCCGTAGCTAGGTAGGGGGGGGGGCATTGAGAGGCAATGCCCCACCTTACTTTAAATTAAAGGCCCAACAAAATTAGATTCGCTTTTTTGATATCACGTAATTATGGCTTCTGCCCTACCAAAAAGTTCTTTTGTCCTACCCCAAAATTTAGGTCTAGCTACGGCTCTGCAGCCATTTTATGTCCACTGTCGAACATAGGCTTCTCCTGTAGATTGCCATAAGGAACAGTTTTTATGGACAGATTTAGAGAGAATATCATTGTATACCTTTAAGCGACACGAGTGTTTTTTGAAGAGATTTTGGTAAAAACGCTAATAGGTACCTTATAGGTATCCCAAAGAAAAAATAAAGAGCAGTAATCACACAGATCTAAAATCTACTCTTTGGTGTTAAATTTCCTTTTACTTTACGACTTATAACAGTCTGCGTTACCTTTTCTATATATTATTTACATTTTTAATAATTAACATTGATATAATCACATGCTACGTAAAGTCACCAGAGGGAGACTTTGTACAAAAGTCGTTTGCTTGGGTACCTCTGTCCCATTCGTGTTTCAACCGTGAAGCAGTTGTGTTTGCATGGTGTTTCGGTTTGAAGGGTGGGATATGGCGTGAATTTACTGGATACAGAGGAATAACACCTGAGTCGTCAGGAATGGCAACGCATGGGGTGTATCATGGTCGAAACAGTATACTCTGTTATGTCCATGGTACTGCTCATGTCTATAGGCGACGGTTACCCCTTTCCATCAGGTGGGCCGTCAGCTTGTTTGCCATTCTAAGTTGTATAAAAAAAGCGTAGATATTTTCTTGTCAGAATTATTGTTAACGTTTCAAAGATAGCAACTTCTTTACAATTTGAGTTTATAAATTTGACGCTGTTTTTTCTATTGGTCTATTCTGTGGCAAAAAAATATATTGTTGATAATTATTTTTATATAAAATAGATTTCATAAAACCCTTATTTAAGACAGACAGTCTATTATCAACTGTCTCTCTTAATTGTTTCGTCTTTATGTTTAAACAATGAGCTAGAAGTTGCGTTTCAATTCCTCGACGAGGGACCGGGCCGGGCATCTTCCGTAGACTTCCATCTGTTCTCTAAAACTGCTTTGCCTTTAGATTCTTGATCACTGACGTTCTGATGACTATATCTTCTCTGTTCATCGTAAACTTTCCCCGCTATACTGAACACACTGTCTGCACTTGTCTTCCTTCTGGTATCTAAGGTTGTTAAACTGACTGCAGTCGGTGATATTCTATGAGGAAACCTTGGGGATCCTCTGATCTTTTCAGTAGAGTTCTGATGGGACATTGGCTTGTTATGGGTGCTTGGGAGTACAAAGTTGACTTTGGTCTCTGGTTCCGCGATGTACTTTTGCGTTCCCGAAGATATGCTCTTCTCTGACTGATAGGAACAGGACGGCTCGTCGTCAGTTATTCTTATAATAGGCCCACTTTTAGCATACGATTCCCTGCGCAATCTTATTTCAGGATGTGGAACATGTAATGTATTACAAGATAGTACCATAGAATGTTTCCTGTTCCCTGGGACAAGACCAGCTATCATACCTACATGCATCTTCAATGCAGCCGCTATACTCTGTCCAGTGGGATCTGCTATAGACATCGTTGAAGCTTTCCTACTGGACGGTCGGCTTCCAAAGAAGCTCTTTAGTCTACTGAGAAGACCAGGGTTTTCTTCTCGCTTACTTAAACAGAGACTGTATAAGTCTATAGCTGGTTGCGACTTTCTGTGGTACAGTTTGGGTTGGGAGCTGAAACTGACAGAGTTTCGACCTCTGCAGGCCTCTGCTGAAGGCCAGCTGGCTCTAGGGATGACTGGTGGAAGAACCGAGAGCAGGAGCATTGGTAGACCGCCACTGATACTCGGAGTGCGTCTATCAGAGTCTGATCGAGTTCGACCTTCTTCTTCCACTGTGTTTAGTTCAGTCTGGAAGGAAGGTATTTTTATTTTAGTATTTAAGACAAGGTGCTTAGCTCTCTATTATCTCCTTAAATGAATATTCAATGAGATGAACATATTAGAGGGAGACTTTATACAAAAGTCATCTGCTTGGGTACTTTTGTACCATTAGTGTTTCTACTGTGAAGCAGTTATGTTTGCATGGTTGTGCTTTGGTTTGAAGGGTGGGATATGGCTATGAAATTATAGAGTACAAAAGCATAATAATTTAATTCTTAGGAATGGCAACACATGAAGAGTATTATGGCGACACAGTGTGTTTTGTTATGTCCATGGTACTGTTTATGTCTATAGGTAATGGTTATCACTTTCCATAAGGTAGGTCGTCAGCTTGTTTACCGTTCTAAGCTGCATAAATCTGCATCGAATAGATTTCATCTGGCTTATTAATAGTAAAGGCAAACTATAAAGTAGTAATATTTGTTGCTAAAACTACTTTTTATTTTAGCAACTAGTAATTTCTTTTTATATAATTTGGAATGATAAACAAGCTGATTCCTCGCCTGATGGGAAGTAAATTTTTAAAATCGATTACGTAGGTATTTTTTGAGAAAATAATCACAAGAAAAAAGTTTAATCTTTCCTTTTTGAAAATTTGTTCATTAAAAAACGTGGCTATGACAATAACATTTGGATCCGGTACTTACTCTTCTATGTAACGGAATAGACGCATTAGAACTGCTAGCAGATAGTGGTTCCGCTAGCAATTTCTCCAATCTCCCAATCTCCTTGTCTAGAGCGGCCACTTCTCTTTTATACACTTTGTTTTGTATTTCGATTCTAAAATGCAATTCTTGTGTCTCATCTGTGATGAATCTTCTAGTTTTACATTCTAATCTGAGTCCCATGCTTTGTATAACGGGATCTTCTTCAGCTAGAAGAATAATCATACATTTTAATTGTGTACATTTTTTTTAATTTTAATTATACTACGTAGGTACAGTGAGCGCAAAAATTTGTATTTCTATAATGCCTATGCACCGTTGCACGCATAATTTCGTTACTCCCATTTACCAAATTATTACACGATGTTTATTCAATTCCAACTCAAATCTTGTTGAGTGATTTATTGACTTAATGTTACTTATTTAGTTTTTTTCTGTTTAATTTAATGATGCGTACAATTTTATTGTAAAAAGTTTCGTGAGCATACATTATATTTCACTTACGTGTAATTAGATCGAAAAAGCTCGACTAGTTTCGGAATCAATTCGTGATTTTTATTAATGGGCGACTGTGAAGTGAGCACGAACCTGACCGTATGTCTCGGCTCGCTGAGCGCGAGTTGTAGGCGCTTGCAGCATCGTCACAGATAAAAAATACGGCGTTCGGAATTCGAAACTCGTGCTCATGTCACAATCACTCATGACTAAGGATCACGAATTGATTCCGAAACTAGTCAAGCTTTTTCATTCTAATTACACGTAAGTTAAACCGGTAGTTATTAAATTAAAATGAAACGTGCAATATCATTTAATTATTGAAGTCAATTAATTTCAATAAAAATGAGGGGGGGGGGGGTATATTGTGCATAAAATATTGTGTATTTTTTTATTAAACAAGTACAATTTTTCTGCTCCATCATTAATTATTTTTAATATATTTAATAGATTTTGGAGCTGACTCTACCTGGCAATTTATCAGCTACTTACCATTTCGCATTATAGCCACAATTTTGGGTAGGAACAGCAAACATAGCGTTGAGGTCGTAGTGATCAAAATGAGACTAGTTATTGTGATGTACGCTAACGTTGCCCGTTCAGAAATGATAGTTCCAATCACGACCACGATAGTGCTCGTGATGACCACAGAATAGACGCTGATGCCGATGTATTTGGAGTCATTGAGCGCTGATATCTTGACGTTTCTGGTCTCCCAGGCCATGTACACTCCGACAATCAGGAGCAATCCCTTGTAAGCATAGAGGGCGCACAGCCATCCGGCCGTGTTCTGAGATTTGCAGACTTCTATCTAGAAGACAATGAGATTTGGTATAGATTTTTTTTATAACACAGGGGGTAAATGAGCATGCGGCTCACCTGATGGTAAGTGACTACCGCCGCCCATGATCACCCACAACACTAAAGGCATTGCAGGTGTGCTGCCGGCCTTTTAAAAAGGAATATGCTCTTTTCTTGAAGGTTGATGTAATAATTATTTAAAAATGTCGTTAAAAAATCGTTTTTCGTATGTAATACTTAAACAATATGAAAAATAAGTTTCGCCCTAAAGTTGTACTGAATAAGTAAAATAATCAAATTGGTCTTAAAATGAGAAATTTTTGAAAATATTCGGATTGTCAACCGGCTTCAAAAATATCTCAATTCGAAAGTTGATTTTTATGTTTGTTACCTCATGACTCCGTTAGTTTCAAAACGATTTGGAAAATGAACTTTATACGATAATTATAAAAAAATTATCAAAATCGGTTCAGTTGTTTAGTTTTTAAATTCAAATGACTGGTTTTGTTACAATTGAAGTCGGTTTTTTTGTGAGACGCATTCTTTAATTATTTTTATTCAATCAGCCTTTTAAATACCAGAGAGAGATTTTGTACAAAAGTCGTTTGCTTCGGCACCTCTGTCCCATTTGTGTTTCTACCGTGAAGCAGTTGTGTTTACATGACTGTGTTTCGGTTTGAAGGGATATGTAAGAGATAGGGTAGGAAGGGATATGACAGTAAATTTACAGGTTTCAGAGGAATAACACCCGAGTCCTCAGGAATGACAACCCATGGGGGGTATTATGAGCGAAACAATATACTCTGGTATGCCCATGTTACTGCTCATGTCTGTACATAAAAAAAAATAGATGTGTAAATTTTAATGAAATTTTAGTAATTTATTAAGCGAGACTCGAACCTGTGGCTGGTACACGACACTGCGGTCCGTGGCGCTGATTTCTATAGTAAGGTTCTTCAGGTGTCTCTCCATAGGATCGAGCATCGCCCATAGGGTTACTATGAGACCATCGATCACTAGCAATGCGCAGACTAGGGAAATGAGGGGCGTATCCTGTAGCAGTTTTGTCTTGCAAACGCCACTGCGATTACTGGAAATATAATATATTTATGTTGTAATAATTTTTATATTTATTTACTTCATTCTCGGCTAATTAGCCGGTTTTCTCAGACAACCCGTCCCAAAAACTTTTGGAAAAAAGAAAGCTGAGATCCCAACCCCTTTTATTGCGTGTGTGTATGCAAATATGCATACACATATATATTACTACATATATATTATTTTTATGCTTCATAGCTCTATACGTGTGTGTGCGTGTCTGTAGTGGTGTGATGTGGTGCATCTTGTAAGTTTAGAGTAATTATTGTATTTCCTAGTACTTTACATATTATGGCCGAGGAATGCATGGCTGCTTGTTTTTGTAATATACCTATATTGATGTTCGCATGTAGTTGTTCGCAATACCTACTCAAGCTATTCGCTATTACACCTGTCGCTCCCACTATTATTGGCAATACTATCGCTTGTGTTTTCTATAATCTAGTAATTTCGGTCTTTAATTTATAATATTTATTAAGTTTTTCCATTTCTTTAGCTCCAATATTATAATCTGACGGAACACTGATGTCTAATAGGTATGTTTTATTATGTGTTTTATCTATATAGATAAGATCGGGTCGATTGTGATTCACTGGATATTTATTATTATTATAATTATGTATGGAAATATAATTATTTATAATTATACCAAGTAACCTGCTAGCAGACTATTTCTCTAAGGTCCGATTTATATTATCAAAACACTCATACCAGTCACTCTTATCAGAAGTGTGTAAACGGCAGCTTTGGTAGGATTTTACACGTAGTACCTATGCATGCGTTCAAGTGTTATTAAAGCACTTGAAGTGAGTGCTACGACAATGTAAACCGGTCCTGAAAGAAGTTCATCATTCATATTTTATACAGTTTTCTTTGTTTTTTTTTTTTATTAAAATTTGAGCGCTTTTAAAAACCGTCTCATCTGATGTTACATGATGACGTATCGATACGCACATAGAATGAAGCTTCCAAAACCAAATAATGTCTATTCATTCTAGTTTTCGAATTTTAAATATTTAATTATTTTTCTTTAATTTAAAACCCAGATTTGAGAATGTTACAACGTTAAAAAAAAATGTTCCAAATTTAAATAAAAAAAAAATATATATAGTTATCATAAAATAAGGCACTTTTCGATTCGAATACTTACAAAAAATGAAAGTTTTGAACGAAAACACGTACAAAGCAAAGCAAGTAAAATAAAAACTTGTAAAAATGAGAAAATATATGTTTAGACAAGACGTAATATTTGTACTTAACTGTTTATTCATTTAGATTGTGTATCTAAACTTTATTTTTTTTATGTATCAATGTTTTAAGAACATAGTTTATTACCTACAATCGCTTTTACGAGCAAAACGATTTATTTGAACTGTCGTTCGAGTGGCAATCGCCGTATAAACAATACGGATAATATTGCTTCAAGATTTATTACCGTGCAGGGCACATTTATCGTAAATACGTACCTTATAAATATACGATGAACTCGATATGTTTTTGCGAACATCGAACCAAAAGCGAGGGAGAATCCGGCCGAGAGGATGTAGACTCTACCCTGAAAGGAGCAGGCGGATTAGTTTGATAGAATGGTGCGAATATAGGTTTGGAGTAGGCAGCATTTAGAGCAGTGTTTTTCAATCTTATTCATGACGCGACCCCCTTATTAAGTAAAAATATCTTGCAACCCCCTACTCTCCACAGTTTCGAATGTGTTTGAATTTTATTATAGTACAATTATGAAATCCGTACAGTTGCATTTATATTCACAGTTAGATATAAATTATATATATATATATATATATACTTATATTATTTATATATATTAATTATATATTATATTTACGGAACTGTTGATTTTTCACTGCTTCGCGACCTTCCGCGACCCCCTTGTAGAGGCTCGGGGCCCCCCAAGGGGTCGCGACCCACACTTTGAAAAACACTGATTTACTGAAATTTAGGAAAAATAAAAAATTGCATCCGGCAATGCTGATAGGAGGTACAATTTTTTAATTTTCAGTTTTTTATTTTAAATTTAAATTTCAGAAAATTAAAAAGTGTTCTAAAACACTGCCTTCAAAGGATGCTAACTATTTAAATATCACCTTGTATATTTGTATACGTTTTTAGTATATTACTTTATTGTTTTTGGGTTTTCTTTCTCTTTTTACATACATGTATATACGTGTATGGTTCATTTCATTCAATTAACTACATAAACTTGTACTATTGTATCTATGTTTCGGTACTCATTGTCTTTTTTTTATATACCAAAATAAAATAATAAATATTTACGTACAGTACACATAGCAGAGAAGGGTACGTAAGAAGGCAGCGTGGCGTTATCCACCCCCAGCAAGGCCACTGCGGTGTACACTAACACACAGCCGATTAGGGTCATGTTGTTGAGGCGCGGTGATGACAGCTTTATAGACCTGAAAAGAAATATACAGGGTGCAAGAGACAGGTTGGTCAAAACGAAAACAGTTGGTTCAGATGAGTGGTTTGAATCAGATGGCAGATTACTTTTTCACCGGAAATGCATACACATATAATTAATGATTATTATTTTCGACGCCGCGCAATGTATTTAAAATTTTACGGTGCATACAACGCGAGATACCTACTTACCTACAGCGCGTACAATACAGGTCAATGACGCTTCTTCGTAGGTAGTTTTCGTACGCTTGTGACGTTGACCTTACACAGCTGATTCCACGCGTCGCGGTAGGAATTTAGTACAATGCTGTTTTTTGATATTTCATAGTATTTCACTATAAAATAATATCATTTCTTCATATTGTGACAATATCATAGATTACATGATTTTAAATGAAAAAAAGTAGGAAAGAAAATTTTTTAGATTTTCCAGAAAGAATTTCCACTGGTTTTCAAATCAGAATAATGCTCTGAATTCACTGTTTCAGTTTTTGCCAATCTGTTCTTTACAATATGCATATTTAAGGTTGCACACGACATACTAGATGGCGCTAGAATCGAGAATTGTGGTTTTTGTTGATTATTTTATAAAGTTGAAGTAAAATTTTTTGAACTGCTTTGATGTAAACCCCCTTTTTAAATACGATATTTACTTATATTTACTTACCGTCGCTTACTATAATGTAAATTGAACACTAAGAACGCTAATGCTAGTGCCACACCGGCGGCAGCTAAAGTAGCTACGGCGAGCCTCGCTGGTGCCCACACAGAGTCCACCCTGAGTACGAGGACTCTCCTTGCGGCTGGTATACCACCAGCCCACTGCGGTCTCGCGCAGTCTTTACACCGCAATTCTCTGCCGTGGGTGTACAGAGCTACTGTTTTTGGTCGGCCCCCTGAAAAATAAAATTATATTAGAGGATAGAATTACATAATAAAGGGTGATTCTGATAAATATGGTCCCAATATAAAATGGGCCAAACATTCCTTTCCCATAGATGTCTTAAGCGATGACTAAGAGAACTTAATGGTCGAGGAATGGGCAGCAGCGTCCCTCTTAAAATATATTCAAAAGCCAACCCTTTTGCCAAGCGTAACAACTATTGACAAAATTCCCCAATGGTAAACTGCCATAAGGAACGGCCCCGTTCTTTATGGAAGTCTATGGGGGAAGTTTATGTTCAGCAGTGAACAGATTACAGCTGGTATGAGGAGGGAAAAGGATGGAGACTGAGAATCCCATTGCTAGCAATATACCCAACCAGATCGATCTCCTCGTGATTCTCCCTGGAAACTATCATGGTTAATTCCTGATGAATTTTGATGAATTCATGATTGATGGGCTAACTGGCCTGTTTTCATTCTCATCGATCACCCTTCACTGGTGCTCCGTTAGCGTATCCCGTTAACGCAGGCGGGGTTACCACACCATTTTCACCCATCAAAAAAACAGCTGGTATGATGATGATGATACATAATATATACGAAAAATACCCAAATCTTTCAACAAAAGTCTAAACAGATATACAAAATAATAAAAGTACATGTTAAAGGTCACGAAAACTATGTCGCTTACATCACAATCTATTCAGGTAAATTGTGAGAGAGTGAGGGCTTGAAGTAAGCCGATTTGGTAAAATACGAATGGTTGAAGAACGAAACTAAATATCCAGGACAATAAATTGCTTTGTAATATAATATATAATATTTATGGACTCAGTGTAGATACAGAAAATATGTATATTTTCTCACGACAAAATTAATATAGATTCATATAAACTGTTTTAATAGAGACCAAGTTTTGTTAATATTATTACAAGAACACTCTCTAAATTAAATTTGTAAAAAATCTAAACGTTTAACTAACTAATTGATGGTGGATTCATGTTATTGAATATTAGCAAATTATGGTATGGTCGGGTGAATTATTAGCTCTTTTTAAAGTCTCTTAAAAAACATTGAAAATTGCAAGGTGTTAAAATCTTTTTTTTTAAAGTGAAATCTTTTTAGTATGTCTGGGAACATTTTGGGATGGGAAACGTTAGATACATACGCTCAGATACATATATACAGATATGTGTGTGTGTGTGTGTGAGTGCATATTAATAAAAGAGATCTATATACAAAATAATATAATATATAAAATAATATAGCTCTTTTGGAAGAGGCAAAAAGTAATAAATTAGCATGATACAGGAAATAATATGAAATATGAATATAATAAAAAAAAAACAGAGGTAGCTAAATATATAAGCATAAAATACATAGTCGTATTACATTAATTGTAATAATTACTTTACTATTGTAGATAATCAAAATTACCTTGTATTTGATAAAAGGCAGAAGTCCCTATTCTATCAGCTCCATTAAACGAAACTGGACCCTGGAAGCAATAACTCCATTCAATTATTAGGTAATGTGAGAACAACTAAATAATACCTATTATAATTTTGTTAAACACTCCTTTAAATATCTAATTTATTTACTTAGGACTCTATTAAATATAGAGTGTGTTGGGTTTCAGAAAATATTAATCACTCAAAACATCTGTATCTCCGTATATTATTACTAGCAATGGCAATTGCTCTAACAATATATGGTATCTAAATACGTAAAAAACGAGTATTTTTTTAATGTTAAGTAATAGAATAAGTATTGGTTATTCAAAATGGAAGGAAATAAAATATTTATTTTTTTTATTTTACGCAGCTGAGAATGGCAAACAAGTTGACGACTCACCTGATGGAAAGTGGGACCATTGCCTATAGATATGAGCAGTACCATGAACATAATAGTGTCCTCTGTACCCTCTATTTTTTTTACTTTAAACAGACATTTAACGTAATAAAGACCATATGACAGAACTTTTTGACATCTGTTTAATTGCCTTAAAGTTGTAGACAGGTAGTTGTAAGCAAATTTAATGTATTAATAACTAACTTTGTATGTAGCAATAATGTTGGTGATTATTTATATTGTATAAAGTTAATGTCAAAGAAAAAATTGAATTAAACTAATAAATTTCAATAGGTACATGCCTAATATAGTCAAATAAGATTAAAAATTACATTTTGCATGTCTTATTTATATTTTATATGTATTTATATTTTACATTAGAAAATGACATTTTATACACAATATTGCTAATACAACATATATACATACAATCATAGCATTACTATGACAATGAATTTTATAAAATGCACAATTAGTAATTATATCAACTATTTTCAAGGAATAAATTTACACTGAAGTAGGTAAAAGCGAAAGAATTATGACTATTCGAAATTAAATATGTTAGACATATTTAAACTATAAAAATATGCTCACAACTACAATCGGAACCAATGAGGTCAAATGATTCTATTGCGGTGAACGTAACTTTCGATATGTCCATAATACGTCGAGCACATTTGAATCCAACGTGACAGGGGTTACGCCTGCCACTGTCCATGTGATTTATTTAATTTGTTAACGGTGTTTTCTTTCTATTTTTTGTGTTGACCAGACTTGCACTTACGATTTTTGGAGTCGATAATTTGAGATAAAAAATTAGTTGACTATAATAAACTTAGTCATTACAAAATACTGATTATGTACACGTATTAAGAAGAGCTCTGTGCCTATCTAATGAAGATAGCGTGAAGATATATATAATTTCAAAGCCTCCAATATTGTAAAAAAATTATACCTATTATCTTTCATTTTAAAAGGAAATGCTTATAGATATTTTATTTAACAAGCGCGGTATTGAATAACTTGTAGGGGCCGCCTTTCAAAGGCTTCCAACAAAGCCCAGCTTAATATTTTCATTTTATTTAAAGTTTAATATAAAATATAAATAAATATATTCACCGAAACACCGAGGAAGCTCAAATTGGCTAGCTGATTCAAAAACTCTTCGGCCATGTCTTTTCTGTCGTAATCAAAGTGTCCAAGTCCCAACTTCCACCCTCGTTTGTGCGATGTTCCGTTATTGTCCGTCATTGCCAAGTTTCGCCAGAGATTTTCGGCTTTGCTCAGTGCGAGCGCTATTGCCCAAACAGCGTCGTAAGTCTGCGGGGCATATGGGGACACTGGGACGCCGGCACTCTCCATTTCCCGATAGAACATCTCGTTTGTCTGCAATCAATGGAAATCTCATTAACATTTTATGTCTCCCATGTAATTAAGCTGAGTAACTTGTGTTTACATAAATAATGCCGCTGAATTTCTTATATGCTTGTTGTGTGATGTCGAGAGTTGGCGAGTAAAAATATGTTTATGAATATTATGTAATTTTGACAAGTAAAAATACGTTAACAGAGGTTTAAAAATAATAAATGACTATTGAGTTTCTTGTACTTTTCAATCAACTTTTAGTAGAATTATAAGAAATTATGAATTAAAAGTGTTTTTCAATCGATTTCAAAAAGAATAAGATTCTAAACTTAGCAGCAATTTCTATTATGTTTGTTATCTCATAACTCTGTCTGTCTGTATAAACTGATTTGAAAGATTTTTTTACCTGAAAAGACATACTTACAAATTGGTATCATAGAAATTTTATCCAAATTGGTTAAGTAGTTTTGTTTTTATTTAAATTGTGGCAAAATCAGTTATTTTAATTTTAAAATAACTGATTTTGCCACAATTAATGTCGTTTTTTGTGGGAAAATAATTAATATGAAAATAAGTTTTAATTTGATTTGATTCAACCTCTATGATAGGTTTAGAAGGTCTTAGGTTCATTTTTAGACCCAGTTTAGGAAAAAGATTTTTCTAAATTGCGGTTTGTGTGACATTGTCTTACAATGAGTAGGTCTGCGCTAATGGAGTATTAGGGCGGGATGATAGGCGAGGGTGAAGTCAGGATAAATAACTCTAGATACAGCGTTTTTACGAAAAAACATATATTTTAATTGATAATTTCGTGTCGAGGAAAGGAATGATTGATCATCACCTCAATTTTTTTTAAAAGATTTTAAATGATTTTTTTGGAATGGAAAATGGAATGGTAATCCCGCCTGCGCTATCTTTATACACTGTCTAGGCACTAATGATAAATGACAGATGAGGACGAAGGTAGATCAGTTAGTTTATAGTGACCAATTTAACAAGATAATTGACAATTGACCACTATGGTTTCCAGAGGGAACCATTTGGAGATCGACATGATAGGGTATATAGGTAGCAATAGGGCTGTTAGAATCCATTACTAACAATCCCCCAACGGAGATAGTTAGTTCAATTTGATAGTATTTGCTATATATCTTCGTATATTATTTGGCATCAAATATACCTTACTAATTCTGTAAGCACCTGGAGATTCTAATTTACGTTAAGGAATGGAATGGATATAAGTAAATATGTGAGGATTATTGATATGATCCGAGATATGGATTGATCAAATTTTGATTTTGATTGATTATGATAGATTTGATTGATTGATTAAACATAGTTTATTAAGATAATTGACTGCTAATTTATTGGATTAAATACATCTATGAGTATGTTATATGCACATAATTTATAGAGTAAGCTTTGGTTATGTTCCCTATTTAGGGATATTTATGTAGTTATTTGCCCAAAATACACTATAAATAAAATAAAAAAAAACATACACACGACTATATTAATTAATGGGGTTGTCAGCAACCTTAATATAGATATAAAAATACTACGTTATGATGTTTGTTCTCGATAATTTCCGAAACCTTTGCCAGCGTATACTGTTAGCGCAGGCGGGGTTACCATTCCATTAATTACCATCAAGGGTTCAAATCCTAGACTGGGATAGGCATAGCCAAAGACCTTAGTTCTTCTCAGAAATAGCAACGTACGAGGGGCATCGAGGGTATTAAGTATAGTTTATTCTGTAATATACAGGGTATATTCAATATTTATAAACAACAAATACGATTTTCCATAAGGTGGGCCACCGGATTATTTGATATTTCCATTTACATATGAATAAATTATGGAGAGATGCCCTGATTAACTGGCTCATCTCTGAGCCGAACGATTCTAGGAAGCCACAATGAAAATTAATAAATTTTTTATTTAATATTCTCTGATTTATTTGCGTTTATACATATTAATAATACACTGTGGGGTATTCAATATTTATAAACAAAAAATCCCATTGCTATTTCAACCAGGTCGGCCACCGGTTCTTTGATATTATCATGGTTAATTCTTGATGGATTAATTGATGGAGAGATGGCCTGTTTTCATTGTCATCTCTGATCACCGATTCACTGGTGCCCCGCCAGCGTATGAAAATTAATAAAGGCGGGGTTATTTAATATTCATTGATTTATTTGCCATATAAAAAAAAATTCACTGTAATAAATTTTATGATTACAAAACGAAGTAGTCATTCAGATTTTATTGTTGCATGTTAACTGTTACTAACTACTATTGTAATATGTTTCGACATATAACTACAATGTTTGCTAAGGCAGAAACGGCATATTTTTATGACCTATTCCGCGAGAGGAAATAATATAGAGGATATTACGACTCACTTATACTTGTCTCCCTATTTCATTTGAAGTCATATTACCTACTCCCAAGAGACGAGGGTTAGCTGTGATAACAAAATAGAGTAATAAACTCAGTTAAACAATTACAATAAAGACAGTATGACTCACGATAGTCATTATTCAATAATAAAATAACAAAGTTAAATTTTTTTCGTTCCTTTAGTTTGCACACGGATATAAGTGATAATTCATTTTTGTTTATAAAGTAGTATATTTGTAAACGAATTGCAAACCTGTTGCAGAATAATTTGGTTACAATAAACAAAATAAATAAAACATGCTCACGACTATAATACTCGAAGGGTTAGTCAAATCATTGTTCAATATGATGCCCACGGCCACTTTCTACCATTGACTTGTCATCGACAAGGAGTTCCACCCCGTACCTTAGAGCCTAGATAATCGCGTACAACGCGGTTTCAGAGATGTTTTCTCCCACGACTGCTCAAGTTATAGAATGAGCTCCATGTCGTGGTTTTTCCAAGAGACTACAGCATTTGGTTGTTAAAAAAAGAGGTAAAGAGGTTTCTTCAGGGTCGGCAACGCGTGCCTAGTGCCTTTGGTATTGCAGGTGTTCGTAGGCTTCGGTAATAGTTTTCCATTAGATGGGCAATATGCTTATATGCCACCTCGGTGGTATAAAAAAATCTGTTAAAGAAATAGATGATTTCTCTAGAATCAATTATGATTAATTACTAGATAATTTTCCACGGTAGGCGAATTTAACTGACTTCATTCTCAGCGTTTTATTTTCCTTTAGGTGATTTGATATTGTATACAATTAACATGGGTGAGTGTTCTTTTCCATTTTCAAAAATTAAAAACGTCTGTCCTAGTACGTATTCCAGAGGGGAAGGGATCGTTAGTAATGCGGGCTACCAGATTATCAAAACCATTGCTAAAATAATGTAAAATACCCATTGTCCATTAAACAAACATTTATACACAATAGGAGGTCGACCTCCACGCTGTTCTCCGCCGAAGAAACGGCTGAAACCATCGTGAAGCTGTAGCCCATCAACGTTTAAAAATCCAGGTGTATTCATCACGAAGCTAGGTTGTGCTGTACTAGCCACGACTCATACGCACAACGGCCCAAATGAGAAGCTAAGCGCAAAAAAGAGAGTCCAATTTACATTACATTACATTCTCCTCTGAAACCGAACTGTATGCGGCCATTTAGATATAGGCGTCTAAGGGAAAATGTCTGTCGATGGCGAGCAGTAAAATGATGAAAGGTGGCTGCGGGCATCATTTCAAATAATTCCTCAAATCCCAAGTCATTGTACAAGCGGATTATAATTAATTCAATTAAAAAAAAAAAACCTTTAATTTTACTTGTTGACTTTTCACGTTTGATATTTACCTAAGTTGTTCAGAAAAATCTAAGTCGAACCGCCAAGATATGTCTCGATTTATCACACACATAAGCAATAATCCTACAGCCGGAGCTACCCACGTTTATTCTTGAAACTGAATTAGGATGCCAATGAATAAAAGATGAACAGGCTCAAGCAGGTACCGACTGTTTGCACAGATTTGCCATGTTCATTTGTGTAGGTTGTTAACTTATAATACGAGTACAGTTAGTAAAACCTGGAAGTGTCGGGGGGAAAGGGATTGTTAGTAATGGAGTTTGACAGCCCCATTGCTAGCAATATGCCTTATTAGGTCGACCTCCACGTGGTTCCCCCTGGAAACAATCGTGAACAATTCTTGTTGAATTTGTCACGATGGGCTAACTGACCTACTTCATTGTCACCTATCATCCTTCACTGGTGCCCCGCCGGTGTATACCGATAGCGCGGGTGGGGTTACCATTCCATTATCATCCATTAAAAAAAATAAAAAAAAAAACCTGGAAGAGTCAGATTAAATAAACTTAGTAATAGTCGATATGTGTATGTGAGGGTGAATGATTCTAGAAGACGAACGAAAGGAATAGAAATGGGAGACATAACTGAAAGAGATGTCAATCATGCTGTTATTATATCACTTATACACTATCTTATACACAAGCCTGCTATGAATTGAGAAAAATAGCAACTGATGGTGCATCTTTCGTCTTTTTTTAGTAATTATATTTGCATAAGAAGAAAGGAGGCAACAATATGATTTACAGTCTTTATTTAATCATTCCTTCTATGTAATTTCTTGTTCTTAGCTACGGACTAGTCAAAAAGCAGATGCATTTTTATCTATCCCTCTCTATCAATATGAATTATGCATTCCATCTATTCTTTTCCGAAATCTTTGTATATTAGCGAGATAGGTATCTCTTTTACACCATCGTTCGACGAATGAAAGGATGGTATTGTTACGAAAAAGTTAATAAATAATATTTTTTTTATTTTAATTTTTTCTTTCGACCTTCTCCACATATATCGAATGATTAAATTATCTTTTCTGTTATTGCAAATGTGAATATAAGTCAGTTTACTTCTTGGCGCCTTAACGGCTCAACCAATAGTAATAAAATTTGTTATATACGTAGATCTATTTGGGATGGACATAGGCTAGTATTAATTCGCATCAATCAATATATTCCCGCCACATAGATCAAGCTGCGGGTAAAAATTTGTGATTATTATATGTGAATAATATCTATATTAATCAAAATTTTTCCCTGTTTTGATTTTATTCTGATTATTAGTAATGCGGGCTACCAGTCTAATTGCTAGCAATATACCCCGTCAGGTCGACTTCCTCGTAGACAGGGGGCACCTCTGGAAACCATCGTGCTGAATTCCAGATGGTTACATCCTCACTGACTGGTGTCCCGCCAGCGTATATCGTTAGTGCAGGCTGGGTTGCCATTTCATTATCATCCATCAAAAAAAAATATGTATATTCAATAATATTATAGCTCTCTAGCCTAAGTGATAATAATAAAAACATTGTAAAAGCTGCTTGATACATTTTGTACAAATGTTGAATTTAATGTCGAACATACGAATCCGTTCTATTGATATTAATTCCGTGTCTTGTTAGTATTTTCGCCAGCTGACGCTACTATATACCAGATAAAAGTTTATTATCCCTGCTTTGAGTTGTCTAGAATTTTTCTGGATTTTACAAAGTAAACGATCTAGTTTTTTTTTATACAATTTGAATTGGCGTACAAGCTGATGGGCTACGAAAGTTTTTTTTGTTTATATTACTATGGTGACAAACAAGCATAAACAAGTGGTAGTCAGTGGCTAGATTATATGCAGAGATGATGGTGTAATAGTGTCATGGACATTGTGGAATATACTATTACGTGCATGGTACCCCATAATGTATGAGACGCTTCTAGAGTGTTAAGGTCTTATTGCTCTGTGTCGAGTTAACCTTTGTAGGTATTCGAGAATTTTCGTATTTATTTATATTATTTTATTTCACTAGGTATATATATTTTTTATACAACTTAGAATGGCAAACAAGCTGACTGCCCACCTGATGGAAAGCGGTAACCGTCGCTCTATAGACATGAGTAGTACCATGGACATAACAGAGTATACAGTTTCGCCCATGAAACCCCTCCCCCCCTGAAAGCTGTTGTGTTTGCATGGCTGTATTTCGGTTTGAAGGGTGGAATATGACGTGAATTTACTGGGTACAGAGGAATAACACCTGAGTCCTCAGGAATGGCAACGCATGGGGGAGAACCATGGGCAAAACAGTATACTCTGTTATGTCCATGGTACTGCTCATCTCTATAGGCGACGGTTACCACTCTCCATCAGGTGGACCTTCAGCTTGTTTGCCATTCTAAGTAGTATAAAAAAAATAACAAGGGCTCTCACTGCAAACTAAACAAGCAAGGTCCAACTAGGCTTATGCCCAAAAAGTGTTTGCAGATTTTGTCACAGTGAGGACGAAACGCCGCAGTACTTAATGTGTGATTATAGCCCACTCATACATATACGACATATCTCTTTTGGAGAATATACTTTGTACCCAGAGGAGATAAAAAACGTCTCTACAAAAAATTCCTAACATTGATCCGAATTAGCAGCGAACTTTAAAAAAAAAGCGAGAACAAAAGATCATGGAAAGGTTGCAGCATCACAGGTTTTTTTGGCTTAAAAAAAAAAACTGTCTTTCAATAATAATATTGAAATACAAATTTCTAATTATAAAGGTAAATACACAAACATATATGTATATATGTATAATTTCAAAACAAAAAAAATATCGAAACCTGATTAGACTGAGAACTCGGACTAATAACAATTTACTATTTGCACGTTTATTCTAGTATTTTATTTTACTCGAGTATTTTTTTAATTGATTTCAAATCAATCAAAAGAGGAAGTAAAATCCTTCATAAGAGAGTTGAGTCTGCGCATTGCGGATAGGGGCCATGATCGCCGTTCTGGTTCGTATCTGGCTCAAAGGATATCTCTGGCAATCCAACGCGGAAATGCCGCAAGTGTCATGGGGACCTTTGGGTCGGGTACGGATTTTTGTCATACTGTGAAATGTATTAGTTTTATCTTACCTGAAATATAAATTGATTTCTGAAATTTAACTTTATGAAGATATTAAATGTTCAGTAACTTAATTTTGTTCGTCCCCGAAAATTCCCTCGTCTCAAGCCATTACTGTATTGTTATCAGGATTATTAGTCATGTTAAAACGAGAATTTATTATGGTAAAATGTTTAACAGTTCAGAACTGAAGCGTTAGGTTATTTTTAATTGTAATTTATGAACACAATGATAAAGCAAAAATGTTTGAAACAATTATAAATGAAAATGTAGGCCTTCTTTCTATAAATCAGTGTTTCTCAAAGTTTGGGTCGCGACCCCCTGGGGGTCTCGAAGCTTTTACTAAGGGGCGCGGAATGTTGCGAAGCCAAGCCGTAAAAAACGACAAGTTTCGCAATTTAATAAAGTCAATTTTACTGTTTTAGGTACTTAATTTTTTAATACTTGTTTATTGTATTTAACCGATACCTAATTATGAAAAGAAAAATCTACGGATTTGATATTTGTTAACTAATAGAATACATATAGATTAGAAACGGCGGAAGGTAGGGGTTTCAAAATATCTTTTCATATTAAGGGGGTCACGCGATGAAAAAGTTTGGAAAACACTGTTCTAAACAATACTTCAGATAACATGAATGGAATGATATATTAGGCTGCGTTATAATGAATATAAAAGGTGAGTGGTATAAATATGCGAGCTTGTTAATTTTAGAAAGGCTGTTCCAAATTTATTCGAGTGGTGATGGAGTAAAAATACAATATGTCACCATATATTTTTGGCTTCAGGATGTCGAAGAGTCTATTAGGGACCTCAGCATAATATACTTTCGTCTGAGGAAAAAAGAGATGAAATGATTTTCCATTAGGCCGTCAGCTCGTTTGCCATTCTAAGTTGCATAAAAATAATATAAGTTCTATTTCTGGCAAGGTAGTTTTATTTTTTAATTTGCTGATTTTTCTAAAACCATAATGGTGGCAAACAAGCATGTCATCTGTTTGATGGTAAACAGTCACTGTAACATCAGGGGTATCACGTTGCTTACCCTGAAGATGCCTTAATACACGCTTTTTGAAAGACTCCACACTGATAAAAGTATACTTGCATTACCAATATTTATGCACCGCTATTTACTTTCTCTGTTTACTCTCTGTTGACTGTTAAGTCAACCGTTACGCTATCAGGCATTAAGTCAGGCCTGTAGACTTTTTCTAATGTGTGAGAAAGTATAAATAAATAAATAAATTACTCACCAGTCCAGAGTAAGAGATGACGTCGCCCACTAGCCCCCTGTGCGCGGTGACGGTGACGAGTCCCTCGAGGGCGCGGGCGAGGTGCGCACGCGCACACGGCGCGGCGCCGCGCACGCGTGGCGGCGCGCCCGCTACTAGCCACGCGTACTCCGCCCCGAACATGCCCAGCTTGAATGCCTGCGCTCTCATATATTGTATTTTATTTTACTAAACATTTCCACGTGCACAAGCGTTTAATTAATTATTAAGATATTTTAAAATATGTGTGGATTTCAAAAGCAGGATAATGAGATAAAAAAGACCACCGTTATATAGTGTAAAAAGATAAACTATATATTAGTTTTTAAGTTAGAGCTTCAGTAACACAACGGAAAGCTGCATCTAATTTGGTGTAGTAATTTTTACGTAACGTGGGAACAAAGATATAAACAGACAGAGAGATAGATAGATAGAATTTCTAAAAAATATTGTCTTGCCTTCTATTGCCCGTATTACCAGAAATATAATTTTTTTAAATATATTCTAAGTATAGACATCGTTTAGTTACAATTTTATTATACACACTAGCCGTTTCTCGCGGCGTTGCCCGCTTTTATGTAGTTCCCGTATATTATTCTCATTGAATTTCTCCATGAATCCAGTCTTGTATTGTATTATATACTTAAATGATAATTACGTACCCAATACCTTCATACATGTTCAGCCAATGCAACTGATCGGTTATTTTACAGTATTTTATATGGGATTCTTTAGATTGGTATAACTTTTTTATTTATGAACCGATTGAAATAAAACCGTAACGCAATAGCTTAAGCCGTTTCTGAGATTAGCGTGCACAAATGTACAGACAAACAGTAAAAAATTCTAAAAACACATTGGTTTGGACTCTATTGCGTTCATAAAGCTCCTTTATAGTAGTTTTTCTTATATATCTTACATGTACAGACAGCGACCAGTTACGATTTTATTATATTGATTGTTTGATTGATTAGTAAGATTATAGAGGTCTAGCAGAAACGAAACAAACGTAAACTAATTTTCCGTTTTAAATAGGTAATTACTAAAGTAATAAATAGTAATAAATTAGGAGTAGGTGATTGGTGTTGCTAGGTTAGTAGTATCATTTACTGTCAGATGGGCTGAATGTTTGTTTGTCATTTTTGATTTATTATAAAATATTTTTAAAATTCATTTAAAATTCCGCAAAAGAAAACTTCAGTTATGGCAAAACCAGTAAAAAATTAAACTGCTGAACCAATTTTGATAAAATCACTATGGGAGTAATTTGTAAGTTTATTCTTTCAGATAAAATAAGAATTTTTAAATCGGTTTATAAAAGACGATGAGGTAACAAACGTAAAAATAAAATCTAAACTAGAACCTTCTTAGTGCATTGTAGAAAGTATGAAGTCCTATTTATATCTATAGGCGACTATCGTTAGCTAGATTTGCTATTTCAAATTGTAAAAATATAGTCTATGGAGGTTTAAGCCTCCAGGCTTAAACGGTGATGATGATGATGTTGATATTTGCTCACCTCACAGAAGATCTTCGGTATCATTTCTTGTGAAAAACTGCCTATAATGATGCGGGTGTCCAGTTCCTAGTTAACAAAAAATAAAAATAAAAGCATAGCTAACAGTGAAATGTTTACAAAAGAGAGACAAGGTTTTAACAATTGAACAAATGTTCGATCGACTGATTACCCGATTGATCGGTTGATAGATTCACTGAATAGTCGATTGATCTACCGATTGATTTATTGATTATGATATTTATTGATTTATGATATTGATTATCAAATCGATTGATTAATTAATTGATCTACATTTTATTAAATAAAAAAGTAATTATGTTGGTTGATGATTGACTGGGAGAGAATACTTTTAGCATTAAGTCCGCCATGTACACATATTTGTACTAATGAATAAATAAATAAATTAAAAAATAATAAGGTATAAGTGACTACTTTCCATTAGGAGGGCTGTCAGCTTGTTTGCCATTCTAGGTTGCGTAAAAAAAAAATCATTGTGTAACGGTTTAAAGTACTGTTTCAATCTTCTTATTGTTGCAGGTTCAATTCCTGTGTAATGCGTTTCAATTTACATTCATGAGACTTTGTCATTAGTATTGGCCAGGAACTGTTATTTATTAAAAAAAATAATATTTAATTGCCTTTTGTCATTCCTTTATTCAAATAAGCGATTATTGAGTATAATTTTACTAAAGGAAGACATTTTACAAAATTTATCTGCATGGGTACCTCTGTCCCATTCGTATTCCTGTCGCGAAGCAGCTATGAATGCAGGACTATGTTTTGGTTTATATTTCAGTGAAATTATAGGGTATGGATGCATAATATCATAGTTTTTAGGAATGAAAACACTTGATGGCTACCATAGGCACATTAGTATATTCTATAATGTGTCATTGTTTATATCTAAAGGTAATGGTCACTCGTCATCAATCATCAAGTGGGTCATCAGCTTGTATGTCGTGCGTGTTAATTTTACGGCCTGAGAAAAGAATCTACCGAAAATATAATAACTAATAATAGATCTCACTCAAAGGAAAATATTTAGTTAAACACATACTATATATATATATGCTTAACTAAATATGATTAATAAATATGTATGTATATATGTATATGTACATACATATTTCGATTTTGTTATCAAAGGCGAACGTAGAATCTATAAATGCCTATTGATTTATAAAAAAAGAATAATGTCAGACAAAAGCTGTGTAGGCGCCATTTCCTTTGTCTAATATTTTTGAACGATGAACCATGAATAAGATATTGTAAAAGTAAGAAATAAACATTCTTTTTACTCAACAAATATTTTATCAAAACAAGGAACCTGATTTGCTTTTTCTCGGAAACAATTAGACTTTTAGAACGTAGTAAACACTCCGTAATAAAATTACAGGCAATCACTGCATTATTACATTCAGTTGGAAATAGCCATATTTGATATAGATAGAGCATCAAATATTAAAAACGTATTAATATTTAGTCTGCTAATTTAACGCTCTGCTGACAATTTTTTTTAAATAAAAATAGTAAACGCTTTTTTTAGTATTGCTAGTAATTGGATTAAAAAAATTCCCATATAAGAACAGGGTTTTATATTATCTATTTTTTTTTCTGGTGAAATATAAATACATATACATATGAGCTATTTTGATATATTTAAAACGAAATTATAAGGTAAAAACTTATTTTACGCTTGGATATAAATTAAAGGGATCAGTAAAGATAAGCATCATTACAAATCTTCACGCATTGTTTCCTCCTACATATTGAGTAATAAATATACATTATGGCAACCCTATTCACGCACACATGGAGAAAATCCTTGACCTATTTTTGGCGAAGCATTTGTATGATGACACTTGATACGCCCATGGATACCTACTGAGCCATAGATCAAGGATTACATCGTAACTATAAAATAACCTCATCCTAATTCTTATGATTGTAATTTGTACTGAGAAAATAATGACTACGTTATTTAAGAGTCGGCACAGCTACTGTATTCACGAAACTGGTAAAAGAATTTATGCAACTATTTAGAAGTATCATTATCATATTAGCCCTCAACCGTCCATTGCTGAGTCCAAGACTCCCCCTTGGGGGTTTTTGCCAGTAGTGGCCATGATTTACAGGCGGATTGACAACCGTAGTTAGGGGGGGAGGGTTATTAGTAATGCCGACTACCAGTTCCATTGTTAACAATGTACCCCGTCAGGTTGACCTCCATGTGGTCCCTCCTGGAAACCATCGTGCCAAATTCTAAGTGTATTTATCACGATGGGCTAACTGACCTTTCATTTACACCTATCATCCCTCACTGGTGCCCCGCCGGTGTATACCGATAGCGTGGGCGGGGTTACCATTCCATTATCATCCATAAAAAAACTGCAGTCAGGGTTTAGAGATGTTTAAGAGGGATATTGCTGCCATCCCTTAATCATCTTTTATGACACCCAAGGAAAAGGAAGGGGTAGCCTATTCTATGCCGGGACCACACGGCCAGTAGTACAGAAGTATGAACATAATAATATTCAACTGTAAAACTATTTATATAATATTGTATTAATTGTATTTATTATTTTTTGTACAAAGTATCGATAGTTATTTGGTACAAAAGGATGTGTTATTTTAAAATGCAATATTTTCAAATTCAATGATTATTCAATGCATAGATATCAATAAACTTTTTTTTTATTTGAAACGTGTTCCTGGTCACACCTATTTAAATTCCGAATCTAATGTTGTTATTTTTCAATTCGCCTCACAAACAGGCAATGTTTCTAAACTATACAGCTTATTATTCTATATTGTTTCCCCTATTTTTTTAAATAAAGTTTTCAAGCTTGTTTTTTAATTTTCATGTCAAATATTTTGACAAAAACCAACTCATTTGATAAGTATTCGATAACTATTTACTTGTATAAATAAAGTAATTCATACAAATGTCCGTATAAATTTATTAACTTATTTTATTGCTCCATAAGTACCTAACCAATTTTGAAGGGGGGGGGGTGGAGAGTTTTTTTGTCTGTCTGTGTGTTGTGAGTCTGTCAATTTTCTAGTACTTATATAAGGATGTTTTTAAAAAAAATCATAATCATCAAGTACACACACAGTGCCGACTGCTTGATATGTCCAAAACAATCTCCAAAATCATGTCTAACGTAATATATCGTATAAACTTATTTAAAATGGCATATTAATTTCTTAATAATGATAATACATTGGGGTAACACAAACAAAAAACAAAGCTTGTTACTGTTTGAGGTAAAGAAAACAAACAAAAGTTCCCCACTCGACAAAGGCGAACATTTTCTTTGTTCTGGATAACTTGAGACACAATACTCGAGAACATACAATTCTGCTGATGCTTTATGTAGTTACTCTGTAGATTCAACTAATTATTAAAGATAATAAAAGTGCCATGCACTGTCTAAACATACATCACTCGTCATGTTTACACAAATCTTTCAGGAACAACTGTAATCTTATTATTGTTTAATAATATTTAAAAAGTGAGTCTCTTCAAATTTGTCTTTTTTTTTGCATGAAGCAGGTCATTCAGCGTATCGTGATGAATTCCATAAGAATTGACCATGACAGTTTCCAGGAGGAACCACGTGGGGGTCGACCTGATAGACTATTGCTAATAATAAGACTGTTAGACTCCATTGCTAATACTCTCATGTACTGCTCATGTCTATAGGCGACGGTTATCACTTTACATCAGGAGGGCCGTCTGCTTGTTTGCCATTCTAAGTTGTATAAAAAAATCTAAGATTAGAGTCATGAGTATATTTGTTATATATTTTATTTACTTTCTTATTTTAATAGTAGTGGAATTAAACAAAATATTTCTAATTAAATCATAAGTGATATGGACTTCCGTAAGATTACACTTATTTTAATAAAATACTTTCTTATTTTGTCGGTACTTTCATTTCTCGTTCAGTAATACCACAGAACAAGTAAAGCACAAGACAAGAATATCCCTAAATTGAAATCGATTCCATTTAATTAAAATGTATTAATATTTAAATTCTTCAAAATAAATGTTCTTAAGATATTTCCGCACCGGTCTGAATCCTCATTAATGCGATTCGGCGGCCAATTTCTAATTAAATGATATAAAACTTTCAAATTACTTTAGTTAGGGCCAATATAATATTTATGATTTATAATATATATTTACATACCGATGGATATAATGGATTTGTCTATTTATAAATTTAAAACTGTTATTGAAAAACAATTATTGAGCGAGTCCTATACGAGTATACACTAAATGTTAATTTGAATGACAAACGTGCATGGTGTTTGTAGAAAATGCATGGGTTTTTAAACGACCATGTTATTTTAGATATGGTAAATTTATATAAAAGAGTAAGTTGAGTTTCTTGCAGGTTTCTTCAGCAGTAGGTTCATCAAAGATGACAATTTAAAAGAGCTTGTAAACAAGTTTTTTTTTTAATAAAGATAATTTAAATATTAAAAATTTTAATGGTCTTGTATTAGTGAGGATAAATATGACCCTTTGTAGAAACAAAGGGTGGCCTTATCTTTAAGCAACTTCTCAATTTTCTATTTGCAAATTTTCAATAAGAAATTGCTTAAAGATAAGGCCACCTTTTGTATCACTTCACATTAACATTTACTGTATTTATTATTTTTAGAAATGATGCAATAAACCATAATATGTCTGGCTATTTATTATATATATATATAGCTATTCAACCAAATATCGTTCAGGATTTTTTACATTACAATTATCGTAAAGCAGTATAATAAATTTTTCGAAAATAAGTAACGTAAAAAGTATACATTGTTGTGGCGAACCTTTAGTTGCTGCAGTTGCTCCTTAAAGTCGGACTCGGCGAAGGTGATGGAAGCCGCGCACGTGATGTTGGCCGCTTCCAGCTGCGTCACCAACTCGTTCACTGCTAACGAGTATACTTCTTCGTTCTGCGAGAACGCCGTCACAGTGTCCCAGCCGAATTGTCTGCAAGAAAGTAGAAAATGAGATGGAACCTCTTTTTTAAATCCATGTAGGATTTCAAAGGTAGGGGCATATTTTTTTCTAACCTGCAATGACCAAGTATTATGGGTGCTCATGGGCGGCGGTAGTCACTTACCATTAAGTGAACCGCATGCTCGTTAGCACCCTGTGTTATATAAAAATGAAGAAACATATACAATTTTTTAAAATTAGAACAATTTTAGAATTAGAACAGTAGTAACCGCATCAACCTCGGTGCAGTAGTTTTTGTGTGATGCCGAAGCATCAAAACAGACAGACAAAAAATGGATTCGTTACAATGAACCAACTAGTTTGAATTTATCCTCAACTACCACCATTCGCTGATGCCACCAACGTATACCAGGGTAACAATTTTATTTTTATTTCTTAAGAAACGACTACAGGAAACCCTACATTTCTAGATTAACAATGTCTAACTCCGTAGATTTAATGGAATGATCGACCGCATTTAATATATATATATATTTTTTTATAACATTATTTATTATTTTTAAAACAAGCATAGAGCTTGTCTGATGGTAAACAGTCACTGTAGTTTTTGGGCGGCAAGTTTGTGCGAGTCGGACTTTACTTACAAGCAATTAAAAAAAAATTACTACTAAAATGAAAAGAAATCTAAGTTTTCATTCTTTTTATAAGGCACTAGTAGAAAATCAGCGCTACGAGTACTTACTCTACAACTAACTGCTAAGGTGGTTGCCTTTTTACTGCAGAGGCACATAAAACCTACAAATTTTTTGTTTCGATTATAAATTATTATTTTATCTCCTTAAATTGTATAGAAATTATAATATAGTTTTAAATTTTAAAAACTTTTTAGATTCCATTCGATACCATTGTCGGTTTTATCCCCATTTTTTTATATCACGAAGGTGCCAAGCAAGCGTATAGCTAGTCTAACAGTAAACGGTCACTGAAGCCTATAGACGCCTGCAATACTAGGAGTGTTACGAGCCTGTTGCTAACCCTGAATAAATCTTAATACACCCTTTTTGAACAACTCTATACTGTAGTCTGATTATATAGCTGTCCCTCGCTGCCGCAATTATAACAGAGTTGGGATAACTGTATTGTTTATATAACCAACTGCGCTTTTTGGTTTAAATTGCTTATTTTTGGCTTAATTTACAAATTTCGTAGTCCAAAAATAATATTCGGGGGCAAAAACTTCTGACGGTTTCCGTTGAACTTTCATAACAGACTTAGAAAGGTCTTAACGACGGTGCCCTGCTGAGGGAACAGAGAAATTAATGAATTTTATAATGAGAATAGAACTTGTCGTAAGCCGAGACAATCTTCGTAATTGCGACAAAATTAAACGTTATTTTATAAGTTTTGTCTTTTTAAGACTAACAAGGGTTTTTATAAAATGTTTTAGTTGCCACGAAATAGGTAGGGCGTTACCCTATGTGGTCTCGACTTAGAATGGGGCACCCCTTCCTTTACGATAGCTACAGGAAAGAAAGGTGTAGTCCATTTTGTGCCAGGACTACATGGCAAGGTTAGGATATAGCAGTGAAATTACAGGGCGCGGAGGCATAATACCATAGTCCTTAGGGAAGACATAACCATAATTACGTCTATAGGGCACGGTTATTATTTTCTATCAGGTATTTTCTATCTCCTTCCGTTAGACCGCATTCAGAGTCGGGCGGCTAGAATTATCGATAGTCAACGCCTTACTGTCCGACTTGACCCACTGAAACTGCGCAGAGATGTTGCATCTCTGTGCATCTTCTACCGAATTTATCATGGGGAGTGTTCTGAGGAATTGTTCGGATTGATACCTGCTGCTGATTTTCACCACCGTACAACCCGCCACAAACTAAAGTTTCATCCCAATCATCTGGACGAGTGGCGGTCTTCCACCGTGCGTTTTTCAAGGCACTTTCTTCCACGCACAACCATTCTTTGGAATCAACTTCCAGCAGCAGTATTTCCGAACCGATACGACAACATAACCTTCAAGAAAAGAGTATATTCCTTTTTAAAAGGCCGGCAGCACACCTGCAATGCCGCTGGTGTTGTGGGTGATCATGGGCGGCGGTAGTCACTTACCATCAGGTGAGCCGCATGCTCGTTTGCACCCTGTGTTGTAAAAAAAAAAAAGGTGTCTTGGCAGCTCGCCTTTCATTTTAAGTATCATAAAATAATTAAAGATATTGTTCCACATAAAAAACCGACTTCAATTGTGACAAAATTAATTAGTTTAAATAAAAAACTAAACTATTGAAGCGACTTTAATAAAATTTCTATGGTACCACTCTAAAAATATATTCTTTCAAATAAAGGAAGAATTTTCCAAATAGGTTTATAACTGACGGAGTTATGAAGTAACAACAAACATAAAAAATACCACCAATTTGAGAACTCTATACTTTTTTGAAGTCAATTGAAAATCAAGATAATAAAACAAGAAATTAAATCAAAGTAAAAGTGTTTTATCGTTGTAACTAGAGCAGACAGGTCTCAACAAGCAGTTCCCATTCACTATTATGACAAATGTAACAGGCGAGTTTGTACATAAATTAAGCTACTTGTTGCAACGTTTTAAAGAAAGCGTCTTTCAAAAGAGATGTAGCTTTTATTGCATGCATAATATACGAAAGGTAAATTTAGCTATTCCTTTCAACTAAAGTAAAATATAAATTGAGCACTCTTCAACAAATTTTAAAAAGAGTTCTTTTTCGACGTTTGCAAAGTAAATAAAAAAGTCTTACAAACTTAAGCTCTCCTATTGTACATCTTTATTTAATATATTTTATATGTTTGTAATTTTTGTGTATAATAAAGTATAAATAAATAAATAAATTGTGCTTTGAAAGAAGTAAAACATATAAGTACTAGTGTGTTACATGCGGCGTTACCCGTGTATTTATCTGCCTTTTCATCTTTACCCAAAGGTTGTCTGTAAGCGATTGCCCTAGCGATAAGACCGTCTTTTATGTATATATTATTTTTATGCAACTTAGAATAGCAAATAGCTGACGGCCCACCTGATGGCCAGTGCTAACCGTCGCTCAGAGACATGAGCAGTACCATGGACATAACAGAGTATACTGTTTCGCACATGATACCCCCATGCGTTGCCATTTATGAGGACTCAGGTTATTTCTCTGTACCTTGTAAATTTACGTCATATCCCACCCTTCAAACCGAAACACAGCCATGCAAACACAACTGCTTCACGGTAGAAACACGAATGGGACAGAGGTACCCAAGCAAAAGACTTTTGTACAAAGTCTCCCTCTGGTAAGATATTTTTTATTCAACCACACGATAAATGGACGACGTATTAAAAGAAATTTGTACTTACATACGAGTATAGGATACTTTTTATTTCAATTTAGGCGCTAGCTTCCACGGGATATGACTAGTTTATAGTTAGTAGTTCAGAAAGTACAAAGTACAGCTTTATTTTTAGAAAAACCATAAATCTTAGCTATGAAGTACCTATTCATAATTGAATATTACCACGAATTAATATTTCAGCTGAACAGAATAGTATTTCTGTTGAAATTTCAAGGGCAAATAAGAATTTGCCGAAGACAAAGAGGCAGAGATTTCGGCATTAGACATCTGTCAAAATAAATTGAGGATTTGGGACACTTCAGTTAATTTTGGCTTAAAAATAATCTTCAATAGTAAAGAAAGAATAGAGTTGAATTTTCCTTATGAAAAAATTCATCTTCTATTTACTTATTTATTTATTTAAAGGAACACCAACAGCATATTGTATTATAACATACATATATAACAAACATTAAATACAATACAATATTAATGCACATGTCTATTAAAGGTATTTACACAGCATTTACTTTAACGTAATTATATATTATTAATATTTCTATTAATATAATAATATTAATATATATATATATATATATATATATATATATATATATGTATTGTATGGATGTGAGACGTAGACATTAACTCAGAAAGAAATGGATAAACTTAGAGCCTTTGAAATGTAGTGCTGGAGAAGGATGGATAAAATTAGCTGGAGGGATCGAATTAGCAATGAGGAGGTCCTGCTTAGGGTTAAGGAAAAAATACAAATTATCAGAACTATTGAGGACAGAATGGGAAAAATGTTGGGACACTTGATACGACACGGCGAACTTATGAATATTATAATAGAAGGTAAGATAGAAGGAAGGAGGGGAAAAAGGAGACCGAGACATAGTTACATCAGGCAGATTAAGGAAGGAGTTGGTGTCGTGTCGTATCAAGAGGTGAAGAGACTCGCTGAAAATCGTAGTCGGTGGCAAGAGCTCCACCGACAAGAGCACAGCTCTTAAATAGGATAGATAGATAGATAATAAATGGGAAAGTTTGTAACAATGGTTGGAGTGATGGATGGACGAATGTTTGTTATTCTTTTACACAAAAACTACTGAATGAATTTCAGTGAAATATGGTACACGGATGGTTTGAATTCTAACACGTAAAATAGTGTTATTTATTGTATACAAAAAAGTATTGTATCAGAATAACAATTACATATATTAGTGCAAACTATTATATATATATATATAGCAACAACTATATGTGCTGATGAAAACATCTCTAAAGCCTGACTGCGGTTGCCAATACGCCTGTCAAGCGTGGCAACTACTGGCAAAACTCCCCAAGGGGGGCTTATGTTCAGCAGTGGACGATTAAGGGCTGATATGATGATGATGATGTATGCTGATTAACGTAGATGAAGCTGCGGGATAAAGCTAGTTAATAATATGAGTATTGTTGAGTAAATTCGTCGTTTTGTCTTCAAAAGCGAGCATTTTCAGCGAGTCAGGAATACTTGTCACAATTAAAGGATAATGTAAAGAAATATCTGCAGTATTCACATTTATTCCTTCGCTCATTCATGGCTATACCAAAGATACTGAGAAATTATGCAAAAATTTTGTATTCACGACGAAATTGGTTATCTTTACCAGAGGGAGACTTTGTACAAAAGTCAATTGCTTGGGTACCTCTGTCCCATTCGTGTTTCAACCGTGAAGCAGTTGTGTTTGCATGGCTGTATTTCGATTTGAAGGGTGGGATCTAGAGTGAATTTACTGGATACAGAGGAATAACACCTGAGTCCTCAAGAATGGCAACGCATGGGGAGTATCATGGGCGAGACAGTATACTCTGTTATGTCCATGGTACTGCACATGTCTATAGGCGACGGTTACTATTTTCCATCAGGTGGGCCAATAGATTGTTTGTTATTCTAAGTTGTATAAAAAAATTTCATATTTGTTTTCTTTTAATTAGCTAATTAACCATCTTTAGGAACTGCTAAATTAACTAATTTTGATAAATAAATACTCTTTATTGTTTCCTCCAAAAAATTACATTAGTAAATTTATTAAAAAAATAATTTAAAACAATTACAAGATTACATTGAGAAAACAATAAGCGGCCTACTAAAAGCAATCTCTTCCAGGCAACATTTGGATGGAGAAGAGTAATTATAAACAGTTTGACTGGGGGCACAAAACTGTTATATATATATTGTAATATGTACAATAATGTAAATATATAAATGTAAATTTTAACTTACTGATACATATTTAACCCTAGAAAGATAATCATATTTGGTATGGCGGTAAAGATAATCATACGTCTCAGAGACGTACGCCTAGTTATTAATTAATATTTTAATATATATGCATTTACTAATTGTTTATAGGGTCTTGCATATTAGTTTAAGTATTGTACTAAGTAATAAAACATATATTAAGTTGTTATATTCATTAATTAAAAGAAAAAACAATAAACATAAAACTCTCTTAAAAGTACACAAAATATAATTCAACTTTTTTAATAGGAAGTTTCTATGTGGCTATCAGTCTTCAATTATAAATATAATGACACTTTTTGAGGGTATAAATGCTAAATAGTCTTTAATATAACAGAAACAATCATCTCTTATAATTTAAGTACATTTATAACACACATCTTTTTTGTGATTATTACAAACAGGCTTTTGGCAAAGAACACATTCCATTTTGGACATTCTTTTTATCTTTGAAGGACAGTGCAAACAATTTCTTTTCTTTTTTGCTGCAGGCTCTTTCTCTCTTTCCGGGTTATCATCCACTCTATTTTCTGGTAGCAGTTCTTTAATATTGTGGCGTAAGTACCTTTTCAAGGTCGGAACTTCCAATCTTTTCCCATCCAAGCTGAAGTTAGCTCAGTGCTCAATTTCTTCATGAAGTCTTTCCTGTTCAATGGCTTTTCATTCTTGATGAGTACATTATGACAATATATGATATATAAGTTAACAAACGATATATTTAGCATGCTATAAAATATCGTCATTGGCCATCTATTAGGCGTCCCCTAGCTGATCGAATAATATTTATTGCTAACGTCCTTCCGTAGGGGGGAAGGGATTGTTAGTAATGGAAACTAAAGGCCCTATAGCTGGCAATATACCCAAGCAGGTCGACCTCCACGTGGTTCCCTCTGGAAACCATCGTGCAGAATTCCAAGTGTATTCATCACGATGGGCTAACTGACCTGCCTTTTTTTTCATTCTCATCTATCACCCTTCACTGGTACCCCGCCAGCGTATACTGTTAGCGCAGGCGGGGTTACCATTCCATTATTATCCACTTAAAAAATGTCCTTCCGTGACTTTTACCTTTGACAGTGGACCAACAGTACCTATTTTTCCCTCGAAGCGTTTGCTTAGGCGGGGTAACTATGCGAGTGTTCAGCAAGGGAATTATATTGACAGTAGACTCCGTCGATTGAACTGACTCCACTTGGTCAGAAGGGTTATCTGTAGCTTCGACAGCTTCATCGCTCAACTCGTCTTCTGTATAACTTTGTACATCATCTTCGAAGAGTTGATTTTCCACTTCGCTACCACTTTCTTGGGCAGAATCATCATCATTTCCCATCAAAAATTGCACAATTTCCTCCTCATTAATACTCTCTGACTAATCATTTTATGGCTATATTACATGTACCTTAAATATAAAAAAAATATACATTCAAACATACAAACAAAAAAAATATCAATCTCGCGAAAGTCACACAAAAGATAATCATACGTCTCGTAGACGTACGACATAGCTGTATCTAGGTACCCATATCACTTACCGCTGCTGAACCACCATCCAACATTAGCTCCGACAACCGACTGAGTTGACTGAGATGGACAGTGCGCTGCGTATTGTAGATAAAAAGAAATAACAATATTTAACAACTGCGTACGTCTCGCGGACGTAGAGTATCTTTCTAGGGTTAAATAAATCCATTTGTACAGCTATTAAGCTACAAAATTTATTTATTTATTCATTAAAAATAATTACAACATTATGACAGCAAAAGCCAAATCAATGTTATAAACCCAGTGTGCTAACGTACAAAATTATAATAAAAGTATTTAACCCGACTCTAGATATGTCTGAGCCGCTTCTAATATCTTTGGCAGGCTACTACTAAAATACCAATGATATTTATAATATTATTTATAAATATAATTATACCTGATGAATGCTATTCTCGCCGGATTGTGGGAGGAGTCCGGTGCTACAGTACGGCAGAACAGTGGAAACTCTGACCGGTCGCTGAGGGCTGGTGATGTTGATCCAAAAGACACCTGCAAACAACGATGTATAATTAGTTTTCTTTTTAATGTAATTACCGGTTCAACTTACATATATTTTAGTCAAGAAAGCTCGACTAGTTTCGGGGTCGTTAGGGGCCCTTAGTAATTAATTAACCCTTAGTAAAACCAGAGGGAGACTTTGTACAAAAGTCGATTGCTTGGGTACCTCTGTCCCATTCGTGTTTCAACCGTAAAGCAGTTGTGTTTACATGGCTGTGTTTCGGTTGAGTTTCAGTTGAGTCCTTAGGAATGGCAACGCATAAGGGGTATCATGGGCGCAACAGTATACTCTGTTATGTCCATGGTAATGCTCATGTCTATAGGCGACGGTTACCATTTTCCATTAGGTGGGCCGTCAGCTTGTTTGCCATTCTAAGTTGTATAAAAAAATTTTTTTTTGGCCAAGGGTCGAGGGATGCGCAACAGCGTCCCTTTTAAAACATCACCAAAGCCTAACTGTGGTTGTTAATCCTCTTGCCAAGCGTGGCAACTACTGGCAACTTACTACTACTAACTACTGGCTATTCTTTACGCTGGAGGTCTATTTCCAGCAGTGGACAGTTAATATGATGGCTGGTATGATGATGATTATATTGTCCCTGTTTAGCATTCTATTTAATGTATTATAAAGAAGCAAGATTTGATTTTATGGTTGTAATAGATAAATTAATGAAAATATATAATCGACTTTAAAAATTCTATTGCCTATTGAAAACTATATCACATTAAGAAGTAACATTGACTGTGTTTTATAAAAACCTGTGCAAAACCGGGTCGGGTCGCTAGTGTTGTATAAAAAATGCATGGAGATAATTTACACACTCAGGTTATAGAATGAGCTCCCTGCTGAGGTTTTCCTAAAATACTACAGTATGGGGTTCTTCAAAAGGGTGGTAAAGAGGTTCCTTCAGGGTCGGCAACGTGCACGTAGTATCTCTGGTATTGCAGGCATTCATAGGCTACGGTAACCGCTTACCATCAGGTGGGCCGTATGCTTGTTTGCCACCTCAGTGGTATAAAGAAAAATTACCTGGACGATATTCCAATAGGGTACAATCTTCGCGATGCTCTCAGTGACCTCGGAGCACGCAGTGCCAAGCAACATCACCATACGGGAGTCCCTTTCCGTGTATAGAGCGTGGAAAAATCGGTCCACTCCCACGCCTGGATCGCACTATGGGCAAAAATAATTAGGTATTATAACTTATTTTATAATCGCCTCTTTCTTACCTCCTGGGAATCAAAAATAATGTGGTGATACATTGAAATCATAGGAACCAAACAGTCTAAGAGCCGTGTAAGTCCCCGCATAGAATAGGCCACCACTTCCTTTTCCGTGGGTGTCGTATGAGGCGACTAAGGGAGCTTATGATGGAGGGATCGGCAGTAGCGTCCCTCTTAAAATATTACTGAATCCCAACTGTGGTCACCAACTTGTGTGCCAAACATGACAATTATTACTACTGAATATAGGCCTCTCACACAGACTGCCTTCGCCTAGCATGGTATAATAATGTATACATATCAATTTTTGACATCTATTCTTTTCTATCACTACTTATCTATTCTATAGCTCCTTAAGTACTTTACGTATATGTATATTTTGAAAAAAAAAAATTAATTCCATGCGGATATAAAACGCTCTTCACTAAAGTAAGCAGTGTAAAAATTGGCTAATGACATTAAAGTATGACGACACTGAGCTGCTCCTATCTAATTATATCTGAATACACAGATATACCGCGTGGTCGTGGCATAGAATAGGTCACCCCTTCCTTTTTCCGTGGGTGTTGTAAGAGGTGACTAGGGGAGGGCGAGGAACGGGCAGCAGCGTTCCCCTTTAAACATCTTCAAAGCCTAACTGCGGTTGCTAATTCGACTGCCAAGAATAGCCACTACTGGCAAAATCCCCTAAGGGGGAGGCTTATGTTCAATAGACAGATGCACGCACGCACGCACGCAAGCACGCACGCACGCACGCACGCACGCACGCACGCACGCACGCACGTATGCACACACACACACACATACACACACATGCACACTGACATACCAATATACACGAGCATAAATACGCGTACACATGTGTACATGTGCGCGTGAGCACGCATACAATATAACTATTACTTTATTACTTTTTATTGAATCTATCGATCTGTAATTATTTGTATTTAACGATACAAGATTCTTACGATATAAGTCTTGAATTTAGTGCAGAAATCATTGTTAAAGCATATTATCATATAACAAAGTATACATAGTTAAATAAAATAAATATTTTCCAAGTAAATTCGTTATGAACATCAAGCAACTGCAATTTATATGGCTCAGACAAGAAGAGCTAACATTACTCGGCAAGTTTGTTCGAGTCGAACTTTACTTGCAGGCAAATACCAACCTTACTACTGAAATGAAAATAAATCTATATTCTGTAGAAATTTCAACATAGTTCTGAACTGACTTTAAAAATGAGATTCTATGCAATATCTTTTCGGGTTTTGCTCCAATTTTTTGTGCTTCTTTTTGATTTCTTATTTTAATTTTATCCCTATTTTTTTTATACTACTAGGCATGAAAACAGGTCAATTAGCCATGATAGTTTCCAGGGAGAACCGCGAGATGGTCGACCTGGTTGGGTATATTGCTAGCAATGGGATTCTCAGTCTCCATTACTAACAATCCCTTTCCCCCCTGATGGACATGGTTACGACAAGCAACATGATATATTTAGAGTATGTTTCATTGGATTTTCTTGTTCTGAAATCCGCGCGAACGAAGTAGCGGGCAAAAGCCAGTTTCTGTACTAACTGAGCTGTTCGCTACTAGAATATTAAGTAAAAGTTTGGAAACGCTCGCTACCTACTCAAAGGTCAGAGTGGCGTCATAAAGTCGAAAAAGGTATTCCTGAGTTTAGAAACATTTTTTAACGTGGGAAAATTCATCAGAGAAACACATTTGTTTCCTGTGAAGAAGTTTGAAGCGTTCACATAACTACGTACCGGGTGATAGCTAAAATTCCGTTTTGTATTGAGAGAGAGGATAAGCAAGCTGACGTAGGAAATGGTCTGATCACATAGCTCGAAGAACCGACAACCGATGTGGAAGAAACATTTTTGAGTGGGGACCCCGTTAGGGTAAACGCAGTGTAGGATTATACGCTAAATGGAGTGACGACCTCAAATACGTTGCACGGAGTCAGTGGATGCAGGTGGCTTAGAACCGTGCCGTATGGCAGTCTATGGGAGAGGCTTTTGTTCAGCAGTGGACAGGTAATGGCTGAGATGATGATCATGATTATAGGGAGAGACGGATTTTTCTCACATCCTGCTAATAAATCAACTTCGTTTATTATTTTTTTTACAAATCTTCATTCTTTTGCGTTGGTATTCCATATTTTTTTACTTAGCGCATTATTTATTGACTATTACAACAACACGGTAAAACTAAAAACACTAAACTTTTGAGACCATTTAAGGGAAGTCATTTGACTTCCCTTAGAGACTACAATACGAGGTTCTTCAAAAAGGGCGTATTAATGTTCCTTCAGAGTCGGCAATATGCACGTAACACCCCTAGTGTTGCAGGCGTCCATAAGTAAGGATGACTGTTCACCTCTGTCCCATTCGTGTTTCAACCGTAAAGCAGTTGTGTTTGCATGGCTATGTTTCGGTTTGAAGGGTGGGATATGGCGTGAATTTACTGGGTACAGAGGAATAACATCCGAGTCCTCAGGAATGGCAACGCATGAGAGGTATCATGGGTGAAACAGTATACTCTATTATGTCCATGGTACTGCTCATGTTTATAGGCGACGGTTACCACTTTCCATCAGGTGGGCCGTCAGTTTGTTTGCCATTCTAAGTTGTATAAAAAATACATTTTTTTATATGAACTATGAAAACATTACACTGATTTTCTAAGTAGGCGTATTACACGCCATCAAAAGGAGACATCCAAAGTCCAAAAGGAGACATCATCATCACAGTACCTTAGTATCGTTGGTGATAAGATGCATTTTATAGCCAGGCAGCAGGGCTCGATCGTTGACATGCGCCACTGCCAGCCTGGCGGCCGCCAGCTCTGAGGCACCATCTGCGCGCGGAGCATCGCCCACGGACAGCTCGAATAGGCCCAGTATGGAAACGATACGGTTCGACGTTGATTTTGGGAGATCTGTGAAAGATATAACATAATAAATTGCTTATCCTTATTTATACCCACTTTTGCACGCCACACGGTTGAATACAGAGATTCTGTTTTTAACATTTATTTATTTATTTATTTTACACTTTATTGCACCATTTATAGAATAGTAAACACATTTAACTGTAATGAGAAAAGATACAAAAAGCCTTATCGCTAATCGTAATCAGACAACCTTTGTTTAGAGGACATTGAGAAAAGAAAGAAAAACAAAGGGTAGGCATAGGGTAGGTGGCGCACTATTTATTTATCTGATATACAACATAGAATGTCAAACAAGCTGACGGCCCACCTGATGGAAAGTGGTAACCGTCGCCTATAGACATGAGCAGTATCATGAACATAACAGAGTATACTGTTTCGCCCATGGATAGTGCTAACAATGTAATAAATAAATATAATCCACCTCATACATGGCAATGCATGATATTGACATTTATGAGGTGGATTATATTATTATTCATCATCATCGTCATCATCATTATTTCGGCCATTATCCGTCCACTGCGGAACATAGGTCTCCCCCATAGACTGCCATAAGGAACGGTCCTGAGCCACCTGCATCCATAGACTCCTTGCAATGCATTTGAGGTCGTCACACCATCTAGTGGGGGGTCGTCCTACACTGCGCTTGACCGTACGGGGTCGCCGTTATTATTCATATTATATAGAAATATCAAAATATACTGTGAAGTTAAAAGATATTATACTAGCATCCGAAAAGGTCCTATTTTTATGAGACGATTTTTTTATACAATTTAAAATGATAAACTATTGCCAACTCGATAATAAAGGGGATTAAAAGTAATAGTTGTTATCTATAGATATTATGAACAGAATAGAATTATATTTTTTTTTAATCACAAATAAATAAACGAGCGACGTCAATGAATCGTGCATTGTTCTCTTTAGTAGAAAAAGAAATTCCAGCTGCATAATGGAAAGAGATTTAATTAAATCGCGCCAAGACGTCGAAGCTTTACTTTTTATATAATTATGTATCTTAAAAAGGTTAAACCGTGTCCTTTTTCTAAAGACTTAGCAGTTCAACAAATGAAGACATTCTTGCAACGGTTTTTATGCCTTTTTAAAAGATTTTCATTTAATTTTATATTTTTTTTATGCAACAAAATGGCAAACAATTTGACGGCCCACCTGATGGAAAGTGATATCCGTCGCTTACAGACACGAGCAGTACCATGGACATAACAGAGTATACTGTTTCGCCCATGATACCCCCCATGTGTTGCCATTCCTTAGGACTCAGATGTTATTCCTCTGTACCCTGTAAATTCACTGCCATATCCCACCCTTCAAACCGAAACTATTATAGAAGAATACGAAGATAGAAGGAAATGGATGGAGAGGAAAAATCAATTTTTTTTGTATTAACAAGTACACTAGAATTTCAAACTGGAACTTAATATTCGGTCAGGGTGCACCTCCTAAAGGGGGAGCACAAAAAAACACAATTGCTTCACGGTAGAAACATGAGTAGGATAGAGGTGCCCAAGCAAACAACTTTTACACAGTGTTTGAAACAAAAGCGTCTATTCTAATTTTGACTTTATAACACTTTTTGTGATTGTAGTCATTAGCGCAATTTCATTTGAGTTCTTAATTGTATTTTCACCCTTCCATCAACCAGAGGGAGACTTTGTACAAAAGTCGATTGCTTGGGTACCTCTGTCCCGTTCGTGTTTCAACCGTGAAGCAGTTGTGTTTCCATAGCTGTGTTTCGGTTTAAAGGATGGGATATGACGTGAATTTACTGGGTACAGAGGAATAACACCTGAGTCCTCAGGAATGGCAACGCATGGGGGGTATCATGAGCGAAACAGTATACTCTGTTATGTCTATGGTATTGCTCATGTCTATAGGCGACGGTTACCACTTTCCATCAGGTGGACCGTCAGCTTGTTTGTCATTCTAAGTTGTATATATAAAAAACCGACTTAAAAAAGCACGAAGTGTTCAATTCGGTGGTATTTTTTTACGTTTATTACCTTATAATTTCGTAATTAGATACAATTACGGAGTTACGATACACAATGGCGGACTTGATACCATAGAGCGTTATCTGCCAATCGACCGTAGACGAGAATAACAGAAAATATAATTAACGGTGCAACGTAATAAACAATATTAAATTTAAACAACAATTCAAAAACAACGTACATGTAATATTTATATTATCTAAATTATACATAATTACAATGGATTTTATGGACTGGAAATAAAAAAAAACGTAGTTTATGCTTAAATGCTAATTTGCTTAGGGCAGATTCAATATCAAAGGATAACCTTTGACATTAGATCTGCCACATGATATATATATATATATATATATATATATATATATATATATATATATATATATATATATATATATATATATAATTTTTTAATTAATAGGAAAATTATTTTTTATCTGATAGGATATATATACTTTCAGATTAGTGTTATAGAAATTGTATGAAAATCGATTTAGCAGTTTCGTTTTTAAATTAAAATAAATACTTTTCCCTCGACTGAAGTCGGTTTTATTTTTGTGGAGCACGAGCTAAAATTATGAAATGGTAACCTCGACTACGCTATTGATTTACGCTGGCGTGTCAGTGAAGGATGACAGGCGAGGATGAGGTTTCATTAATTAACTTATCCTGACGATTTCATCAGGAATTAACCATGATGATTTTGAGGATGACATCGTATTCATCATTCATGTTTTCATTTCGTTTTCTTTATTTGAAAACGAACAAATTATAAAATAAACTGATTAAGTGTTTGCTGTTTGCTAAATTAATGTCAAAAATTTATATGCAGATGCCTACCATGAAATGTTTTTCGAAATTTCGGAGCCAAACAAAACACAAATTTGATGTTAAAATTACATGATACATGCCGTTTGGTAATATTAAAAATGTTAAAATATTGTTCCTTTGGACTTTTATGATAGGATGTATGACGAACGAAATGTTGAACTTCATTTATTGATCCGATTTTGGTATAAACAAAAATACGAAATTGAGTCCGAAATTTCGGAATTACATTTCATGGTAGACCCGCTGTATATAAGTTGTAGTTTTCTTTTCGTTGGATGATAGATGGCAACCCTGCTAGTGCAAGGGGAGAAGAAACAATTGGTAATGGAGATTAGAAACTTCACTGCTAACAATATACCCTATCAGGTCGACTTTCTCGTGGTTCTCCATGGAAACCATCGTGATTTATGTATTGTGAATTCGTCATGCTGAGCTACCTGACCTGCTTTATCATCATCTATCATCGCTCACTGGTACCTCGCCGTATACCGATAGCGCAGACGGGGTTACTATCCCATTACCATCTATTAAAAAAAAAGAACCAGCGTTATCGGTATACTTATTGAAAGGCTCTTTAGATTTTGTTTTTTTTTTTTACAGTGTACGTATCGTAAGAGGCGACTAAGGGAACTTGTGATCGAAGGATGGGCAGAGGGAGACTTTGTACAAAAGTCGATTGCTTGTGTACCTCTGTCCCTTTCGTGTTTCAACCGTAAAGCAGTTGTGTTTGCATAGCTGTGTTTCGGTTTGAAGGGTGGGATATGGCGTGAATTTACTGGGTACGGAGGAATAACATTTGAGTCCTCAGGAGTGGCAACGCATGGGGGGTATCATGGGCGATACAGTATACTCTGTTATGTCCATACTGCTCATGTCTATAGGCGACGTTTACCACTTTCCATCAGGTGGACTGTCTGTATCGTAAAAGCATAACTGCGGTTACCAACCTGACTGCCAAGCGTGGCAACTATTGACACCCCCCCCCCCTCCTAATAGGAGGCCTATATTTAGCAGTTAACGGCAGATATGATGATGTAAATGTGCTTCATCATAATGAACAGAAGTATACACCTGGAATTTTGTCTCGTCTGTGAAAGACTTTAAAGTTAATCTGGAAGTATTATGTTGGCAGATGACTTTGACAGTGGCACCCGTAAATGCGCGTTTTATTCATAGAGGGTAACAAAGTTACTGCGCGCCCCAGGGCTGGTGCGTTACGACTTCCTTTTATTTGATACAAATCGTAAAGGGGTCCCGCGAATGGGTAAATTTCATGCAAACTATATGTCGTTCCCAATTCGCAAGGAATATGTTTACATTCGTACGTAATACAATAATCATTTGAATGTCTTTATATTGTGGAGTATATTTTTCTGGTTCTACAGTCGAATATAAACGGAGACTTCGTACAAATATGGATTGCATGAGTGTTTGTATGGTTTTTTTTTATACAACTTAGAATGGCAAACAAGCTGACGGCCCACCTGATGGAAAGTGGTAACCGTCGCCTATAGACATGAGCATTATCATGAATATAACAGATTATACTGTTTCGCCCATGATACCCTCCATGCGTTGCCATTCCTGTTGCATTGGTTGCATTTATAATCTATACTTATAATAAATCTGTAGAGAGGTCAATTCTATACATGAAATATATTTCCAAAATAACTATCGGGGGGTGATTAGTGATCGATACTGATGCCAAAAATGCAATCAGTAAAATTTTTGTCTATCTGTCTGTATGTTCGTTATAGAAACAAAAACTACTAGACGGATTTTAACGAAACTCGGTATAATTATTCTTCATACTCCTAGGCAGGTTATAGTATACTTTTCATCACGATACGAGCAATAGGAGCAGAGCAGTGAAGGGAAATGTTGGGAAAACGGAAGAAATTACTCCATTTTTTAAGTTTCTGTCCCACCCTACAAATCGAAACACAGCTGCTTCACGGTTGAAACACGAATGGGACAGAGGTACCCAAGCAATCGACTTTTGTACAAAGTCTCCCTCTGGTAAATATGGGTTTTTTTTTGATGAGTGAAAATGGGATGGTAACCCCGTCTGCGCTAACGGGATACGCTGGCGGAGCACCAGTGAAGGGTGATTGATGAGAATGAAAACAGGCCAGTTAGCCCATC